TATATCCGCGTATCGTATATATATGTATATATAAATTCTTAAAAGTATATGTTGAAAACTATCTATTCACATGCTTTTGTCAATTGTGGTTACAATATCGATTAAATGCTTTGTGCATTAAGTTAATTTTACTATCCACAAGAATCTTAATTTAAAGATGTGTAAAAATCGCACGGAATTTTTTTTTATTTATATACATGTTTATCTTAACGGTGTTATATATATATATATATGTCGTTAATTAATAGAGAAAATCGAATTGCGGAATAACCTAGTACCTATATTTAGATATTTCTTGGCAAAATAAAATAAATAATTCATCATGCATCAACGTCTTCCTAATTACTGCTATAAATCTTATAAAGATATTGTACGCTAGAACTAGAAAAAGGTAAAAATTTTAATTTCATATAATACACGTGTCTCTTAAACTGGCGAAGTAAAAGATAACATTGCATTAGAATACGATCAAAGGTAAGAGGAATGTTGTTTAGTAGCATATGCATAAAATAATGCTATTCTCCCTTCCTCTTGTTTTTCCGTAATATTCATCTACTCTTTATCAAAAGTTTCACAAGTTGCTCACCGATTACCTATGTTTTCTTATTTGGGTTTGCATCTGTGTGTTTGTGTAATACGATCTGTGTTACGGTTTTATGTTAGGATTGTGTCAAGGTTGCACCAACTTTGAGATTATCTCTTCTGCTTCTTATGTCTGTTTGAAAACGTTCGATTGTAGCTAATGGTTTCAGCCTGGCACTAGGAACTCGCATTCCTGGTAATATTTTGAACTACGCGCTTTCCCCACCAGGCTTCCAGATCAAATGGCTCAAAATCTATACAAACAAACAAAATAAAGATTAATTTAACACTGCTAACTCTTACACATCAACTACAATAATTCTTTAATAAAGAAAATAAAAAGATTATTTACCTTTGAGTTGAGGATTAGGTTCATGCTCTTGATAATATGTAACGGTAGTGCCATTCCTATAACTCGAAGAATTCAAATGCGGCTGATTACACATGTCTAATTCTTTTGATACGGAGTTCCAAGCTGTAAGCAGAAAGAATGCCTATATTATTTGTTACTATGAGAATAAAAGAACATTGATTGATTATTTTAAATACGTACAATCACATATGTATTTAATCAAGTCAAAATGCTGCGCCACAGTTTCAGGCTGATGTTTGACAGGCATCGTAGATAGCCTTTTTCCATTCATTGCAGTCATTTGTGATCTTCCACTGAAAACAGTCAGGCAATCATCAAATCATCAGAAAAATTATATATTTTATTGGTAGCTATTTCTAATTTCTTTACATCCGATAATAATATCACTTTTATGTATGTATGTAAATATTACACGAAATTGTATAAAGAAAAAAAATGATCATCAATCATTTTAATAACATTTATTAATTATCGATGAGATAAAGTAAATATCGAAAGAAAACACTTGTATCTATTATCTTAAGAGAATCAACGATAAATGCATAGCGTCGTTTAAAAAAATATGGCGGCCTTGTATGACAGCTAACGTACCGCCTTTATCTCTTCCCGCCTCTCCCTCCTCGTCATCATAATAGCAATACACTGTCGCAAGCTCGAACGTTTATCGTTTAATTGGATTGGCATGCCGCCCAAAATGTCCGTAAAATAATATCGTGCCAAACGTGATTTTGGAAATAGGAAACATTTATTTAGCCAACAAAATTCGAGAGGAGAGAGGAGAAGAGGGCAGGCAGGCGCCGTGTAAAAGAAATTACAACAAGAGAAGCCAACAACTTTACTCACCTCATTTTGTCCCTCTCGCGATATCTCCCTATGATGAATCGTCCGACGAAATCGAAATTAACTTTAGAATGATTTCTTGAAACAATTTCTATCGTAGAACAATTTTCAAAATTTTGTTAACAAAGCTTTAAATATGACCACAAACACTCTCTATGCTCGTACAAGCTTCTACAAGCTCATTCCAACAGAGACCTGTCAACAATATCGTGTCACTAGACCATTGTTACTATAGACTACCATAGAGAGGAAACTCACTTACGAAAATGATCTCTCGATAGAGAGACAAAGAGACGTTAACCTCAATAATCTATTTTTATTTTTCTATTTTGCACACTATCCTACACATTCAAACCCCTTTCCTCTCCTACTTCTGCGACTTTTTTTTATCGAAAAACATCGCTCGAAATTTCATTTTCGTTTTGTTTTGTTATAGCAACATACTATTTACATGCATATGTACATATGTGCTATATTTTCATCGTAAATTCTTAAAGTAACATTCAAATTACATAATAAAAGTATTTTAAATGAAAATGAATTCCTGCAAATGTCCATTATCATAATACACTACTTCAAATAAACTTGTACCATTTATTTAAGCCTACGTCAATGTTATATATCAATGAAGACTAATTGAATAACTTAACGTGTTAGATTAATTTATAGTTGATTAAAGCATGAATCATAAATTGAATATTATACCGTGTGAAAAAAAAGCAAGAAAAACAACAATCCATTTCACGATAATGGTCGTTCGAGAAGTTGGACTTTCAACTTACGTATAAGAAAGTGAAGACAAATAAATTAAATTAAACGAAGAAGCACACAAATATTCTTATATACAGTCATCTTATTTTCTAATTTCATTTTAAATACCAATATTGTACATCTTATTTCTATCCGTATAGTACAATAATTTCAATTAATTAACTATATTTTATTTGCATTTATATTGTTCCTATGAGTTCTATGTAAATATATTCGTTATCATAAACTTAAATCCTACTTATTACTTTAATCGTGCGAATTTAACTTTATTCGAGTCGAATATTTACGAATGTACTACATAATGCAGAACTTGAGATTATATGGTGAGCTCATATTTATGATATACATAAACGGACGATCGAGTCGCATAGATTTTTCATGTCATCTTCTGTCTCTCTGCAGAAAAACTCCGTAATTTTTTTCCAACATGCTACTCGACTACTCGAAACATCGCTTCAATTTCATCTTTACCTGAGATACATCAGATGCTATACAAAACTTGCAGGTTATAATCAATATTTTGTTGATTATTATTTAGTTTTACACTCTAATACATTTGTTATAACACTATATACTATCTGGATCATGACAAATTTTCATTACTAATCGTATTGTGTTAATAATACATAAGCCAATTCAACAAAATTTTATTATCTTTTATATGTTTGAAAGAACGTTTAAACATCATTGATACTTTAATATAGAGATTTTGCAGAAGGCGAACTAAAACCTATCGCAGCAAAATTGGATAAAGAACATCTTTATCCGAAAGAACAAATAAAAAAAATGGGAGAGCTTGGTCTCTTAAGTATTACGGTACCTGAAAATTTAGGTGGAAGTGGCTTAGATTATATGGCATATGCAATTGCTCTGGAAGAAATATCTAGAGGCTGTGCTAGTACAGGAGTAATAATGAGCGTACATAATTCATTGTATCTGGGACCTATTGAAAAGTTTGGTACTACGAAACAAAAAGAAAAATATATTAGAACATTTGTAGATGGGCAAAAAGTTGGTTGCTTTGCTCTGAGCGAACCTGGTAATGGATCAGATGCAGGTGCGGCTTCTACTGTTGCAAGAAATGTTGGAGATGGATATGTTATCAATGGAACTAAATCATGGATAACAAATGGGTATGAATCAAAGGCAGTTATTTTATTTGCTACCACGGATAAATCAAAGAAACATAAAGGTATAAGCAGTTTTATAGTGGACAAACCTATAAGCGGTTTATCCCTAGGTAAAAAAGAAGATAAGTTGGGTATAAGAGGTAGTAGTACCTGTTCTTTGATATTTGAAGACTGCAAAATACCGGAAGAAAATATTTTAGGAGAACCAGGAATGGGTTTTAAAATTGCAATGATGACATTAGGTCGGTATATCCACGCTTTAGTACATATAACGTTAGATGATCCAATAAAATTACAGATACTTTCTAGATTCTGGAAGAATAGGTATAGCTAGCCAAGCTCTTGGAATAGCCCAAGCATCTCTCGATTGTGCAATAGAATATGCAGCTAAACGCGAAGCATTTGGAAGTCCTATTATGAAATTGCAAACCATTCAACAAAAATTAGCAGATATGGCTTTAAAATTGGAAAGCTCCAGATTATTAACATGGAGAGCTGCACATCTTAAAGATATTGGTAAACCGTATACGAAGGTATAACATTTCTTTTCGCATATGTTAAAGCTATATTATAGTTATTTAAAAAAAAATTAAGTAGTAAGAAGATATTATATACAGGAAGCTGCTATGGCAAAACTATCAGCATCTGAAGCTGCTACTTTCTGTGCGCATCAGTGTATACAAATATTAGGTGGTATGGGTTACGTCACTGATATGCCAGCAGAACGACATTATAGAGATGCACGTATTACAGAAATATATGAAGGAACTTCAGAAATACAAAAATTGGTTATAGCTGGAAATCTTATTAAAGAATACGATTTCAGTTAAATCTTAATTCGTATGCACAAGCTACATATTTCTATATATTTTTTATATGGCATAATTTTATATATATAAGAAAAAAAAACAATACGTCTTGCATACTATGCCCTCTATTTTTATTTACCTTTATCTATGTAAATGAATGTTTGACACATTAATACACATGTATATATGTATGCTAATGCACAGCATGCATTTACACATATATACTGGTATTTCACTGATTAATCCTTGTCAACATTACAGGAATTGCTATTCATGATTTTTATCCTGCTTGTTATAAGAACTAGCTTATGTTTACCTACATATTAAGTAATGAATATTATAATACAGGTAATATATATTACGTACAGTGTAGTCCAACTCCATAAAAGTAACCTGCATTAGCGAAATTTAATGAAGAAGCTACAAGTTTGAAACAGATAGTGAAAGTTCTAATTGAACCAGCATAAACATCATTTTTTGGCAATCAATATTCTAGCAAAAAGTAAATTAATTATTTGTTTATTTAACTATTAGCGCATATAATATTTATAACAATTATATGTATACCGATTTGTATTATTATATATATATTGATTTTTCTTTAAACTATTATTGTAAATGAATTCAAGTTTCAAAGTCTATCTTACACATTAGCCTAAGTTTGAAATTGTATATTTAGTTTTGTGCAAACGACACCTCATACTATTTTTTTTATTTTTAATTGCTGCAGTTTTCATCAATACTTTCACTATGCACATACTATATATCAAGAGTGCGCATACAGAACCTGTTTTGAAAAAATTTCTATTATTTTATAGAGATCCATTGGAATGCAAAAGAAACATTATGTGTTATTTTAATTTGAATTTCATCATTATTTGTCTTCCTTATGTACAATAGACGATTTTTTTCCATTTCTTTCTTTATCATTTATATTGAAGCAAAGAGTAATTTTCTCTCGATGCGTGTCATATTGGTATTTTTAATTTTTTTTTTATTGTTTTGCATAAAATATATACATCCCACAATTCCATACAATGAATTATTTATGCCCTTTTATTGCATTCGAATTTATTTCAGAAATCTATCAATTTGGTCCTAAATAAAGAATGTGGGACAACTTTGCTTTTCAATGGAAAGCACATAATACACGAGCCTCACTTTTTGTAACCTACCATCTATTATAACATTGGTATACATTCTGAGAGATATATTTTTAGTGAAATTCGTATTGTGATTCTAACAAAATAGATTTCTTTAATTTCCTGATTATAATACATTGTGCAGGCCTTGAGGAATGCTGGAGAACATCATCACAATATGCCAGTAAGCTTGAAGATACAAGAGCAAAGGTATCTTATCTACGCAATTCAATTATTATATAAATATGTAACCAGATTCACTATAATAAGATTTAAATCATGGTCTTCTTTTTTTTCCCTCTTCCCCCTTTTAAACATCTGCCTATAAATTAAATTCACATCAAGTCACATTTACCCTTGCACGTACCTTGTACCAAGCAATGTCAGTTGCTTGTCGATAAATTTAATTATATATTATTATCGAACTACTAAGTTATTAATTATTACTGTTTTTTATCTATATTGGTTTCAAACAAACCAAATTCTCTTTTTCTTGTAATTTATGCATTACTTAAATAGGACCGATTTATATCAGTTCTCCATGTTAACAATTATATTCTAATGACAATCTTTGACTGTAGGTACATTTATCTAAAATGGTTTGTAAATGTAAATAAATTAAAATTGTAAGTAATTGTAATAGACACTGAATCTAGACACATAAGTTCTGGAAAATGTCCCGATCCTGCAGGATCGCCTATGGCAGGGTTTGTCTGGGTATACATCCATAGGTATGCGCATGTATCTATGTATGACAAGTATAAGGAAATTGATTTAAACCATTTATGAGAGAGGCTTTTGAAGCCTCAATCATCGGCTCGCATTCCACGTACTTCTCCTTGATGTCTTTGCTAAAAAAACAAAATAAATCATTAGTATTTTACAGGTATCCATTGTTATACAATTAACAAAATAGGTACCCTGTCCAATTCTTCTTTAGTATTGTCTTCGATAGCTCTGATATCCTCCATTGTTAATCCATACCAACGGTCTATCCAGCAGAAGACTTGTCTATGAAAATTTGTGAATAGACGTCTCTCTGCTTTTTGAATAAAACTTTCAACACGCGTTTGGAAACCAAACCACTTAAATTCACAAGTAACTAGCTTATAACATGTCATCACAGGTTGAACATTGTTCATCCAATCTTTGCCCACAAGAGGACCCCGTCCTGTTTTTTGCGATTTAAACTTTGTTGGATCTTCGTCTTCTTTATAATCAGCACTAGCGATAGGATCATTTGCTATATCTATATGTACTACTTCTCTCATCTTAAGCTTATCAGGGGGCAATTCATGAACCTGCCGATTAAATATAAGTATATAAAAAACAATAAATAATGTATACCATTACTTTAAAACGACACTTACATTATGCTGATTTCCACAATCTCCAATATGAAAGGATTCTATCATAATTATAAAATTATCTTTCATGTAACCAGGATTCTACGAAGGAAATTGACATAAAGTGAAATACAATTTCAATATAACGAAGAAATATTTGTTTCATATTATATGTATATGGATAATTACAGTTATAACAGTTTTGCAATATGGATATGCATTCCAAGCTTCTTCATGAATTTCCAAAGAATTCTTTGGAAGTAAAATACGAATAAAACCAGGCACTTTACTGGCTAAATGATAAATCTTATATGTATATTGACCCGCAGAATACTTTCCACCGAGCAGAGGATAATCCGTAAAAGGTTCATTTTTTAGAACCTCTATACCTTCTCCTCCACCTGTATTATTTTTACTCGCTTCTGCCACGGAATATAATTGAGCAACTTGGTACTGTTGAAAATGGAAAAAAAAAACAAATAATATTAATATACATTTTCTGTGTTAGTATAGAAAGAAAAAGTAATTTAAAAACCTGAATATGAAATAAAATTGACACAAGTTATCTATGATTTAATTATCCTTCAAGTATTTGCATATCTTATGCAAAATTCTTCTTTTTTATCATATCTAATTAATAAAAGTGTCTATTTTAAAGAACATATCATATAATTAAGAAGTACAAAAAAAATATTCCAGTAATGAAAAAATAGTAATTAGATGAATTGCAATAAAAGATAAATATAGAGTACCATCATAGAAAAAAATCTCAGTTATAATTAAAGCTTATAATGATTTAAATACATACTTCTTCCACGGTCAGAGGTAAAGTGACACGACTGTAACAAAAACATATTATTATTTGTATTATAAATATGTAAGAATATGAAGAAATTTAAAAAGCTGGCCTTGAGATATCTTCCTTCATTAAATAGAAGCACGTACATAGATAAGTGCAGGTACATACGATCAAGTAGGAGAAAATTTTGCTCGAGCAGCAAGTCCGTAATAAATCAATATTGCCGAAAAATTTGGAATAAGGGATTAGATAATAAAATGCTAAGATAATAGTCTCTTTATATAGAAAAAAAAGCTTCCCTTAAGAGGCCGCGAGGGATGAAAATGTCTCTTCTCCCTTCCATTATCACGTACCGTTAAAGATCGGTAACCATATCCTAAACTTCAGTTTCAAATTTGGTATTTGCGATTACACATCGTGCACGCATTAATTCTAAATGTAATAGAATGAAACAATCTACTTACAATTCTTTGATGAGCATCTTAATCAGTTGTGCATGTGGTACGTATTAATTTCGTTTAATCGAAATCCACTACCCTTAGTTCGGTAAAATCACTCGCGTTATCTTACCACTCGTAAGCATAGACATAGACGAGATGAGTAATGCAGACTTGGCAAGCAACTGACACACTCCTCTGCTACTCTACGAACTATACGATGCCACGGCCACCAGAACCAGGGAACACATATACTTGCGCACACGTGTACAACTATTTCCCCTACCACTATTCATCCTTACTTCCTCTCTCTTTATCTCTCTCCTTATCTTTCTTTTGCCAATGACGTCATTCTAGCCCACATATGTAAACCGTATGCGTAAACACAATAGTATATAAGGAACTTTTTTTTAATTATTTTTCTATTAGAAAGTTTTGAAAAATCAAACGATAACTTAATATACGATCTGCAAGTTAATAGGAAGAAATAATCAGTAAATCAACGAGTCGCGTATTAAATGCGCTAGGATTTCACGTTCAAGTCAACTACCAATCGAACTATTTGCATTCTTGCGTCATATCCGTCCAAACTCTAGTATCTTTCTCTCTCTCTCTCTCTCGGGCTTTTTCTCTATTCCTTTTTTGCACCGCTATCAGTAATTTGCACACATGCAGCGACACGAATAACTCGAGATTTTTTACGGAAGTCAATTAAAGAGAGTACCAATCAAAAACTGGCTTTATATAATACGTTTACCGATTGGTATATTTCAAATGACACCGTTGACAGTAACTAGTTTCCAACAATGCTACTATTTCATGTAAACTCTAGTATCTATCGGTAATGTTCATTTTTAAATATACCTGTCAAAAAGTTATTCGAACAATTATTTAATTATATTTAAAATAACAGAGATATTTCGTAAAAAAATTTACCATATCAGAGATTTCGATAAGATGTTAATCACGTAGCTGTTGAAAGTTGTCCAATTAACAAGTTGCGTTGAGTAATGATAAACAGAAGCACAGGCATTTCTGAATAACGTGCGTTCAAAGACAAGCAATTCAATGCTGCACCCAGCTACATCTCCGCGCATTTGTAAGTGGCCGTATTAAACAAAAAAAAACAGCCAAAGATGTCGAATTATGATTTATTATTAATCCTTGTTAAATTACCATTACTTTCGTAAATGACGCGCATAAAATTATATTTTCCTAATGGTAGGTATTATTAAATTTGTGGACCGGATTCGTAATCGACAAGTGCGATTGATCGATGCACTGTGCGCAACGGTGTGCGACAATATTCGTGATGAAAGCAGCAGTTGGATGACAGTACTTTAAACAAATTCGAAGAGGAACATTTTCTTCCTATTTCCTTGGTTATACAAATTCATTAGCAATTGGAGAAATCTAAACAGATTTTCAATGGCGTTTTTTAACTAATTTTTCAACCACGTCATCCGGTTGGTAAAGTTCGCATTCTTTTCAGCACAGGATAGTGTGCAGTGCCGTGGCAAAGCAACTCTGATTAAGATGACATGAAGAAAATGAACACATTTTTATAAGTAGAAAAAATACAAACTATGGTTTTAATGAACCATGGTTAAGAGAGAGGGTGTATTAATTGAGAAAACGGATGCACATGTAAGCTGAAGAAATTAAAAGGCTCAAAATAAACGCACGTTTTATTAAATACAAACATAAAATGGATGAGTGTATGTTAAATGATTTGTTGGAATGTTCGGTGTGCTTAGAAAGGCTGGATACTTCTAGCAAAGTATTACCTTGTCAGCACACTTTCTGTAAAAAATGTTTAGAAGAAATTGTTAGTACGCACAGAGAACTACGCTGCCCTGAATGTAGAGTGCTGGTCGATGTTAAAGTAGACGACTTGCCACCAAATGTATTGCTTATGCGTATTCTTGAAGGAATGCGCAATGCTGCGCCTAAGAATATAAAAACTGTTACTCGAAATAATCCAGGTCCACAGCGGCTATTTGGTGGTCATCAAGTTGCTCCAGCACCTATTGTAACTGCAAATATTACATCTGTTACGCACAATACCGAAGTAATACGTCATGCTAATGCAGCAGCTAAGCAGGTACACTTACACAATCAGACATATGGTCGAGCCATATATGATTATGTGTCCAAAGTACCTGGGTAAGTATTACTAAATGTATGATAAAATAAGATTTATATTTTTTATCATTCCAAGTTATTTACTGATGTATTTCTTTTCTTTTAGTGATTTAAGTTTTAAGAAGGGTGACATTGTTGTCCTCCATAGGAAAATTGATAATAATTGGTATTATGGAGAATGTGGTACTATTCATGGTGTTTTTCCATTATCCTATGTGCAGGTATTAAAAAGTTCAAAATAAAATGAAATACGATTTTATTTGTATTCATTATATATACTACTTCAATTGATTATATATTGCAGGTGATGACTCCACTGACACCACATGTACCGCAATGTAAAGCTTTATATGATTTTAGAATGACCAATGACGACGAAGATGGTTGTCTTACTTTTAATAAGGTATGTATCCAAGATAGAAGCATTTCATTGATATATCTTCCAAAAATGTTTTATAATATATCCATTTATTTTTTAGGGAGAAGTGATTAGTGTTATTAGAAGGGTAGATGAAAATTGGGCGGAAGGAAAACTTTTAGATAGAATAGGCATTTTTCCTTTAGCCTTTGTAGAACTTAATAGCGTTGCAAGAGCTTTAATGAAGTTGTCAACAAAGTAAGTACCATCCTTGATAACATATATATATATATATATATACATACCATAAACATATTTGTAATAATATTGTCTATGCATAGCGTACAACCAGGTCCTTCACGAATAGCACCACCTACTCCTACCAACGAAGAAACTACTCCTTTGATACCAACTGATCACTCACGTAACATTCAGACAACGAGCCAACCTCATTCACAATTAACACAGGTGCATGATAAATTTTGTGTTAGAAAACAAAACAAAATATATATATAATATTAACATGTTTGTTTAAAATTTGACATGCTTTATTTGTAGACCACAGCATTGCCAGTATCAGATTCTAGCTCAACTGTATCTTCTGGAGGTAGTTCTACTACAACTACTCCAAACACACCTAATAGTTCGAGTACTTCCAGTAGTTCTAGTACTGCTCCTAGCAGTCCTAGCAGTCCTGCTACTTCTCCCTCAGCAGTTGGAAATAGACACAATGTCAAGCGTCATAGTTTTACTGCTATGAATACTGGTCATCACGCACATTCTCATCATCGACATAGTGCTGAAATACTTAGTCCAGCTATAGACAGTGGCCTTAACAGTGGAAACAATAGTTCTGCCAATGAATCCTCATCTTTACAGGTAAGATTACTTTTTGATGATTATTCAATAATCTCTTGAACAGTTTTTTTTTGGAATTAAATACTGATAATGTTCATTTCCAGCAGGCATTAGGTAATAACGTAGATCAAAGCTTCCGACATAGACGAAGTGGTAGCAGCGATTTAGTTCTTGCTCAACCATCCCAAAGTTTATCCAGTAATTCTAATAATGGTACTCATTTACCAGCTGCTTATGTAGCTTTGTATCCATATAAACCACAAAAAGCAGATGAACTTGAGTTGAGAAAAGGGGGAATTTATATGGTAACAGAACGTTGTCAAGATGGTTGGTTTAAAGGAACATCCAATCGTACACAAAAATGTGGAGTTTTTCCTGGAAATTATGTCACACCAGCAAAGCAAGTACTTTTTCAGATGGCATATATTAAGACTATTTACATTTATTGTTATTTATATATATATAAATATTATGCAGGTGCCAGCGTGGTTTATGCAGAGGAACATCAAATACTACACAACATCAAAACTCTCCATTGACAACTGGTCAGGGCAATAATGAATCACGATTAACTGTTACATATACCAAAAATAAAGGGCCTGCACCTCAACCTTACAATATAAGAACATTACCACCACCTGCATTACCACCTCGTGCTATTAATCCAGTTCCACCTGTATCGTCTTCACGACTCAATCAAAACCAAGGCATAACACAAGATAATAGTCCTCCCAGACACAACGAACAAACCTCTGTTATAACGCCGTTAGGTCGTAGTCATAGTGCAGTGATGACATCAAATTTACGTATGTATTTTTATTTATTGTTCTTATTTTGAAATTTATAAGAAATATTTTACGATTATAGCTTCCCCCGGTAAACAAGTATTGTTACAACCTGCTTTGACAACATCAACAACAGCTGCTATTAGCAGTATAACCAATAATAACGGTACAGGTATAAGTGCTACTGCTGCTGCTATTTCTGCTATACCTGACAGAAGCAAAAGTCCAAATAATACTTTGCATACAGCTAGTGTCTCTGCTCCTACTTCAAGTACGTCCGTAACTTCAAATAAAACTGGTGAAAAGGTAATTTTTCTATAATATTGAATAGTTATTAATTATAGTATAAAAAAATGCACTTTTTCTTTTTCATATTTCAGCCAAAGGAGAAAAAAGATAAATGTGTTTCTTTAATGCGTCGTTTAACTAATATAAAAAAATCTAAATCACCCCCGCCAGCTACTTATTCAATGGATAATCCTGTATTTGAGGATAGTAATGCTGTGAATGCGATGCATGTTAGGTAAGCTTTATGTATACTTTTTATAGTCTAAAGCTTTGTGCTTGTATATGTTACATGGTTCAATTTTTTTATTATTCACAAGAAAAAAATAATTTTAAGTATACTTAGTCTGCATGTTTCTTTATGCATTCTTTTTAATTTTATTGACAATATCTTTGTGCACGTACAATTGTGAATGTACTCATTTTTGAATCAAATAAATATTGTATGTATGTGTGCTCATATTCGTATATTTTGTTTTAGCAGAATTCATTAACATGTTTTACATTAGTTCAGCACTACATATTGAATTACATATTGTATGATAATTTCATTGAATAGAGATATTAATGTTCCGGTGATATATATTTCATTAATATACATTTAATAAAGAAATCAATTTTAATTGTATTAGCCTGAAACAATAAGAATAAGTGATATTTTGCACGCATCGATATGTATCTAATATATCTGTGGGGTGGGGGGTTGTATTAAAAATTAGATCGGGATCTTGTCCAAGTCAGTTGCTACAGGTGGCACCCACGCAGGAATTAAATGCTTCGAACAGCCTTCATCGCATGTATCCAGGCTCTGTGCAAGGGCACGTCACGTCCTCACAGAGACTAAAATTCAAGGAGAGACCCTCTTTACAGGTCTCAGTTTTTGAGAGGTTAGTCGTTGTAAAGTAGTTATAAATACAAACTTCAATGCGACTTTTATTCAGTTATATTTATGTTTACTTACCATATACATGAAATGGCAAAATAGTCTTTAAAAAAAAATCTGTTACAATAAAGATACAATTTTAAGCAAGTGTCAGCTTAATGGCTTTTTAAAGGCATTTATAAAATCAATTTTGATATATGCTTTTTCTATAGTATATAAATAAATAACAAAAATATACAATGTAGCTGTCGCGCAAGCTATCTATGCTTTTGACAGTTTTACATTACAATACAATTATGAGTTTGTAGTGTCGACTATAATACTATGTGTGTTAATTGTGTAATTCAGTCAGGTAAGTGTTTTATAAATGCACTCAAACAGATAACATGCACTAAATATTTTTTTCTTTTTGTTTGTAGTATTTCATGATAGCAATAAATTTAGTATCGTTACACGTGTATCAGAATGAATTAAAACGTTTATTTTTACTACCACTGTATTATATTTTATTATTATTTATAATTTTTTATTATTCTTATTTGCAATAATGCTGGACTATTTGTTATATAATACTCATTTGTTCTCGTTGCATCTTTATTAACACATTCACGACGTATAGAACCATCCACACATATAAACTATATATTTTTTGTTCACATAGAGATAAGAATCCTCGTGAATGTGTTAATTTTTCATAAATTTTCGAGCTTGCGTTTAATAGTTCTGTATTTTATATGACATTATTTTTAATAGATCGAACGATACAAGTGGAGTAGTAATGTCTACGCCAATTGCCGGTAATCATCATCGTAAAAGTAATTCTTTGGATACTGGTATAGGTAAACAAGTGAAACAGCAACCTTCGCGTGAACGGTAAGATAAATAATTTTGATTTTATTTGCCAACGCTCTATTATATTTGACTCTGTTATTTATTCGTGACTATTAATAAGAGCTACTCAATTATTATTTTTATACAGTGACCGAATATATAGATTTCGTTGTATAGTACCATATCCACCTAATAGCGAATTTGAATTAGAATTACGAGAAGGTGACATCATTTATGTTCATAAAAAACGAGATGATGGATGGTACAAAGGGACACAACAACGTACCGGACGTACCGGCCTTTTTCCAGCAAGTTTTGTAGAAGCTTTCTGAGAACCAGCTCAAGGTCGACTAGTATTGGAGACATGTATATAACAAGCGTGGTATAACACTGTAAAAAGATACTAAGTCACGATAAAAGTAAGAATCAACAAATCATTTCTTAATGAACTATCGGTATCGCATAAAAAAATAATACTGCAATTAAGATATGCATGATCAGAATGTCAAAGGTTTATTATCCGAATATTATACACTAGACTAGTAAAATGTGCTTGCAATTTATATACTATTTATACCAGAGAGGGGACAGAATAATGTAAATAAATACGCTGATACTTTAAACATATACTGCCATTGACAACATAGTAAGTACAGGAATGACTAGGTAATAAAATACATTTTGTGCAATGTTTATACTGCCACTTATAAGTGATTACTGTAAAAGAATACTTTTTGTTATTCTTGTTTTAATGCTTTTTTATTTCATTTGCAATAAGGCTGCAATTATAACAAATGCATCTACAGGGTGTCTCAACGAAACGGGATCACCAAATATTTCCTTTGTTTTCAATTGTATGAAAAGACTTCAAAGGAAATAATTGCACTATTGCAGGGGAAAATATAATGGTTGAAAGACTTTTATCTCAAATTTATTCTTTTTACGAAATTTTGGAGTTCTGGATGCTTTTATAAATAGAACCTTTCTTGCGATATTCTTGTAGAGCAAAGGAAAATTAATTTAATGACCTTAGCACATATAGAATTAGTTAAAAGACTTCAATTATGTATAATAGTTTTATTTATTTTTAAGTGTAAATATCTCGAAATTTTTAAATTGTCGGAATGATATCGTCAATGAGATCATATGAATTTATGCTCTAAAAGAATATTGAAAAAAAATATATAGAGCTTCATTTAAAAAGATATCGGGAATCTTGAAATTTCGTAAAATAATTAGTATATATATAAATATTTAAATGAGTACGGGTATTTATAACATATTAATATTACCAGCACATTAAAATAATAACATTAATTCAAAAGCATTATTTGAAAGAATGAATTCAACGTAACAATTGGTAATATTTACATATCATTAGTAACTTGATTAACATTTTTCAAATTCTGAATAATAATTATTTGTTCTTCCAATTTTATTAACAATATTATTATAAATCGATCCAAAATGACACAAAAGCGACAGTTTTAAAGTAATAATACTATATCACATATAATGTTTTCTGCTAATATATTATATTATATTATATACATACATACATACATACATACATACATACATACATACAAAATACATACAAAATTATTCATGCTACTGCTAATTATTTCCAAAATTTATAGTACTCTAATTATCTTTTCGTATAAATTTATGATCTCTTTTATAGATCTTCATGTACCAAATACATATATACACCTATGTATCTGTTACATATGAATCAGTTTAACTTTAAAATATGATAATATATTAGAGAAAATATATATAGAAAATTGAAAATAATGTAAATAATAAAATGATTCTCGATGATACACAGAATGATTGAATAAGGTATACCGCAAAAAGAAGCTCAATTGATATATCTTGATCGATTAGCATGAATAACTAATAAATTGATTTCTTTCTCATAAGAAATAATCACAAATATATACGTTTTTAATTTTAAGTAATATTATATTTATAGGAGAACTCTACTTGTGTTCAAATATATCATTATAAACTTAATCACTTTGATTAGCATTGGAGGAAAATGCTAAACTGTATTATGCAGGATGATTTAAAATTAATAGTAATAAAACTTTCGTAACTTTCAACACTTTATGAATTATTAACGAATTTGAATTATTCTTTTGTTTTTTATTATTTCAAAATAAACAACGTTTGTATCAAATTTTTAAACGGTCATTTTTAATATATGTTGTAAAATATAATTCTCTATACTTGCGTTGTTAATAAGTAAATAAAAGGTGATTAAAATTCTTTGGTAGTTCATGAGTTAGAAGCTTGGAAATTATTGCCAGTTATTTTGAATCATCTTGTAGCTTAAACGATAACATATATATTATCTTCATTACTCATGCATGTATTTGTGCGATAAAAATGATAGAATTTTTAATAGTGACCTAACTATTTCTTACATAATATAGTTCTTCAACTTATATAATATACATTTATAATTATATTATACCATATTTATCATGAACATTTTATAAGAAATAAATTTAAATAATATTATGAAAAGCAGCATAAGAAGAAAAGTAAAAAAATACTTTATCATCAGTTAATTAATAGATAAAACATATTAAAAAATCTAACATTTAATACTGCAATAACATTAATTATACCATATGTAATGACTCAAAAGTAAATCTTTCATGATACCATGGAAATTTATCCTCTAATGCTACATCATTGAATTAATGTAATCGTCTATATACTCGATATACAAAGCACCAATATAAATAAAACTAAGACGTAAACGTATCTAGAATTATAATTACTGTAAATAATATATCTATAATTCTATGATAAATTGTAATAAGATACCGTAATTTTACGAAATTTTTGATTATTTTTAACATTTTTGTCTTTTTTTATTAATTTATTAAATCACGAGGCAACGCTCCATGATGTTATGAAAAAAAATTGAATCGACTGCGTATAGTTTATAGTTCGTGCAATCTGTTAAATAATATTTTATATATATATTAACGATTTAATAATATTTCGCGTACGTAAAAAAGAAATATAATATTTGAATTGAATTTTGGAACATTGTAAGAATTTAAATGTTAATGAAAATGTTAAATTTATTTAAGTTACAACAATTTATAATGTTTCTTCAGGACTGCAAAAATGGGACACATTAATTAAATCATCGCACGTGACATAAGTCAGTACGAAATATTTCTATCATTAGATCTATAATAATCCATAAAGTTTATCTTGATGTTGTGTCCACGGTGTAATTTACGTATTTACAATTATACGAATATTTAAATAATATATCGATATATAAGAGCTGTAATAAAACAATGTGAAAGCCTATCATCAATCGTTACATGTATGTGCGTGTGTGCGCGTGTGTATACATATACATATATTGTTTTTTCTTTATTACTTCATGCTATTAAAGAAAAAGACACGTCAGATAATATATCTCGGTGTATAATATAAGCATCGTATTTCTGAAATAGAAATAAAGAACCAAAAAGAAATAATGCATTACAGTTTAGTTTACACTAATGCGGTCTTGAGAAGACCGCGTTCGATACGAAAAAGACTGTACAAACTATACAGTTTGAAATGAGATAGGATGCAGTGCTAACATTTAAAAAGTTTTATTGGAAACTTATCTATATCGTTTCATCTATCGATATTTTAAATGATGCCAAATGATAAAATTATATTTGTTAACTTTCCACGATGATAAGAATATCGGCTATTCTTGCCAATTTTGTAGATGAGACAAAGGTCATGGCAAAATGAAATTTATTATCGGACAATGAAAGTTTTATCGTCTTAAGTGCTTCTCACGTTACTAATGCGTGCCGATTAATTCATCATTCGTATGTCAATGAAGGTCATTGAATATGAAAATAAACGAAAAGTGGTAAAGTCAATTCGTAAGAAATTGATGGTACAGATTCCGTTCTAGATTTCGTCCAGAATACTGCGTTTCTTGAACATTTATATTAAGAGAATAATTCAAACAAGGTTATGTTCGCAATTTTACTTCATTCATTTGATTAATTAAATAGTGTTTGCATCCTTGATTGCGTGCTCGTTTATGAAAGGAAGATAGAAATGTGATAGTATTGGCAAAGATAAAGCACGCAATCGAACCAGTTCAATATGTTTATTGTTCGTTTAATAAGGATCTTTGTTAAATAATAATAATAATCTTTTTTTTGTGTTAATATATCAACATCATGAAAATGATAGTGTCGTTGACATAAGAGCATGCGCGATCTTATTTTTAGTAGCTCGAATATCGTGTAGTTAATTATATTGAATTCAGTGAATACATATTGACACGCAACTGTGGACATCGGTACAACCACTATCATTTTAAGTATGCATCAAAGTCTAGTCGAAGCCAGTCTGCATTAATGCTTCATCTTCGACAGAGTTGCATCTTGTAAGTTTAATTTTCAATTACGTAGTATTTTTATCCTATTTTTACTTTTGTAAATTTTGTACCAATTGACATTTCATATTGAATACTGTCTCTCATGTGGTTTCATACAACGTTTACGTGCATTAATTCATTGGTTTTTTGGTTTATTGTCCGATTTATTTTGAATATTATCATTTAATGCTTAGTCAGATCGCAGCCTAAATCAAATATTTCAATTGAATTACATTCTTTTGTACAGACAGATAGGCAAACAGGTAGACGTAGGTTAATTTTAATTTCAATCAACTCGTCTTGACTTGACAATAACTGTCAATGTGTCAAAAAAATTTAGCTCCTCTTCAAATATGTATTCACATCTTTAATTATCGAAATTTGATTTTTGATCCTACTTTCTGATATTAAATATCTATGAGATTAACAGAAGATACAAGATTACGGCGATAATGAATAATTCATCTTATTTATATCTAGCATTGATCCATTTTATTGGAATATCCCGTTATTTGGTTATAAAATGTAACAAAAATAGTTTTAGATTCGTGCGGTTATGATTACCATTTATTCGATTAAAAAGTATTGATATTATAGCCAGTGGAATAAATTCTTTTTGCCATAATGATACCTGGAAGAATATTAATGTCTTCCTTTTTATGGAAACAATTTAAACATCGTTTGCAGCCTAAACAGTTAATCGCTAAACAAAATAAGGTAACTATTTTTACAACTAATGTAATCATAATTGTCACAATATTTACAAATAATTACTAGAAGTAATTATTCTACCAAACTTTTATTAATAGGCTGTTATGCTAATATCTCCCAGATTGTTATCAACTTATGAAGTTACAAAAAATATTAAATTCATTTCCCAAGATAATGATCTTAAAATATTAAAATATTCAGTACAAAGTTCTAATTCATTAGAAAAACGACCTTTGCTAGTTTTGCTTTGTTGGCTTCTAGCTAAAGAAAAACATATTATGAAATTTGCTGATCTGTATTTACAACAAGGATTTGATGTTACATTAGTAACAATCACTCCATGGCAACTTATGTGGCCTGAAAAAGGTTCCAGGGTGAGTTTAAATGAATTTTATATCATTTATTAATAAGCAAACTGAATTATAATAAATTATATAACATTTACTAATTCTTTTGAATGCATTTTACTTGTAGTTAATTGCAGTAGATTTGTTGACATTTTTATTAAAGAATCAAGATTATCAACAAATTATCTTACATGGATTTTCTGTAGCTGGCTACATGTGGGGCGAGGCTTTAACTTATATTCATGCTGATCGCGAAAAATATAACAATGTTGTTGATAGAATTATTGGTCATGTATGGGATAGTGCTGCGGATATTAACGAAATAGTTGTAGGCACACCACGTGCCATTTTTCCTAATAATCCTTTGTTACAATCTATAATACGAAAGTATTTAATGTAAGTTTCAAAAAAACATTTAGTATAAATATATTTTATTTCAAACTAATAGCTTTTTTTACATTTTTAGCTATCACATGAAAGCATTCTATAAACAATCTACACAGTATTACCTTCGTTCTAGTCAGATGTTTCATACAAATTTGATACGGAGTCCAGCACTTATTTTCGTAAGTAATACTGATCCTGTGGGTTTAGTAAGTAGTAACATGAGAGTACGAGATTCCTGGGATTCCTTAGGTACAAAGGTAAAGGGAAAAATTGTTATGGATAGTTTTGAGAAAATATGAATACTCCCAATTAATTTTAATCTATTGAATTGTAGACTTATATTAAAATATTTGATGGATCACCCCATGTAGGACATTATCTAAAATATCCGAAAGAATATGTTGAAGAACTTAATGCATTCTTAGGAATGTTAAACTTAATCAAAGATAAAGATAAAATCACAGCTCAAGGCTAAACTGAAATAAAGCATTGAATATAAATATTTTCAATATATTTATATTCATATATTCCTATATGATATAAATGCACCATTTATCATAATTCAGTATCCATATACGTAATTAACTAATATCAATTGTGCATTATCACATAAAAACCTAATTAAACAAATCAGTATGGTTGAAAATTTTAATTTTATATAAATAATCATCTCATTAATGAGATTGTATATTTTATATAGGGAATAAAACGATTTTGATTATTTAAGGTAGAAATAATACATTAAAATAATAATGATTTAAAAAAATATATATATATTTTCGAGACTGAAAAGATTTTACATTATTTTAAATTCGCATCTTTGTAATATATTTTTATATAACAAACATTAAAATATATATATATTTTATTAAATTCGTAATTATATATATATACGAATGACGTACCTTTTTTATAATACCAATCATCGTTTAAAATACAAATGTATTTTATACATTTAAATTCATTTAAAAATATACAATTCAATCTGCATTATCTACGCGGATTTTCATCTGATATTTCTTTTTTTCTTTTCTTTAATTTTCGTCGTTTTTTATGTTCCTTTAAAATTAAGTCAACTTCATCTGGATCTTTCCCTTCCATGATTAATTGTTTTCTCTTATTAATTATTTTTTTCTCATAAAAATCAGCTTCATCTAATTTTATTTCTGCTTCTCTTTTTGCTACAGATACCTGAGTTAAGATTGTAACAACTTCTTTATCTATAAAAAAAATTTAATATTTATTATATATATAAAAAGATTAATTTTGTTTAACATTGCAAATGGAATGTAATGTTGGAAGAAGTATCTTACCATCTATCTTATATTCACTCAATTTCGTTCCAATAACATCTTCAATCGCATGTAACAATTTAATATCATATGGTGTTATCAGACTAACTGCCATACCACCTTTACCTGCTCTCGCTGTTCTACCAACTCTATGAACATATTCCTTTGGTACATTTGGTATTGTATGATTAATTACTAATTCTACTGCAGATATATCTAAGCCTCTTGCTGCAACATTTGTTGCTATTAAAATTTTAATATGATTTGACTTAAATGTATTAAGAGCTGCTAAGCGTTCTTTCTGTTTTATCATTGCATGAAGTGCAACGTTTGGAAATCCTACATCATTTAATGTCATAGATAACAACTGACAATTCCTGCAAAAATAACACGTTTCAAGAAGGCTCTTAAAAAAAAATCTACATATACAAATATCTCTTACTTGCAAGTATCCGTAAATATCATAATGGATCCAGTTTCATTTGTTGTGCGAAATGTTCTTACAACTTCTACAAGATAAGAATCTATTGCATCTTTAGAACACAAGACATAACGTTGATCGAGTTCTTTCACTGTAGCAATACCAGATTCATCTTTTGCTTCCCACATAAAAACCTGAAATAATAATGATAAATAATAAATATATTTAGGCATAATAATAGATACAAATATAATTGTCATACTTTTCCAGGGGCAAGGTTTTTTGCTTTATCAAGAGCATCTGTAATTGTAGCGCTAAATAACAGAACTTGTTTTTCTTTAGATAAGGTTGGAAATATAATTTTAAGTTGTTCGTCAAAAGATCCACTCAATAATCTGTCAGCTTCGTCTAATACTAAGAACTTAATTTTTTCTAAAGAAAACGTATTACAACTTTCTATATGATCTGCTAATCTTCCAGGAGTTGCTACAACTATGTGTGGCCTTTTTGATAACTCTAAACCTTGTACCATCATGTCCATTCCTCCTACGACTACACATTTTTTTAAATTGATCGATTTTCCAATAGCAGCAAATTGATCGGCTATCTGCAAATAAAATCTATTATAAATCGCATTCTTATACGAATATCTAATCTTACAAAAATGTTGTTACACAATACACACTTGGAATGCAAGCTCCCTCGTAGGCGTTAAAATTAAAGCAAAAATGCCATAAGGATCTTCACATAATTTCTGTAATATAGGAAGTGCAAAAGCAAGCGTTTTACCACTTCCTGTTTTTGCACACCCTATACAATTATCGCCTGCAAGTATACGTGGAATACATTGTTCCTGGATTGGTGTAGGCTTTTTCAATCCTATATATGTAAGAATGTACAATTGTCAATGATTTTTTTGCTTAAAACGATTAGGTATAGTTTAAAAAAATCATAAACAAATAATAAAATTAAGTATTTTTACCCATAGAATTACATTGAGTAATGATCCATGAATTGAGATTTAGATTGGCAAACGATTTACAGTCGTTTGCCATTTCACTCTTTTGCGTAAAATAATGACTTAAATAGAAACTAAATTAACAAAATTGAGAGATATTTTTCAAGAATGTGGTCATTGCATCACGGGACTGTAACATGTGGTAGTGAAATGTTTTTGATTCTTCAAATACACAGTCCCCATAAAAAAATTCCGTAATACCAAAGAATACAGAAGTACATAGAAGGGCATAAGTCCACTTTTTTCCTAACTAGATTCATCATAGTTACTACCGGAAACACCAGTAGGCGATAGTAGGTACTTAACGCGATGACAATACAATCAAAGAATACAGTATTCCTTAAAAATATATATAGTATAGTTAAATAGAAATAGAATTTTAAATAATTATATTTAATTTTTAGTGTATAAATATATGTGTGTGCCTTCAGAAATGCATTTATATATACATTGTAACAGACAAAAATACTAAAATCATAACGTTTTAATCTGAAATGTTATTAAATAGTTTTATTATTCTTTTTATGCACATGCTCAACGTTCGGAAGGTCCTGTAAACAACTTTCACCAAAAGAACTTTAACAGAGGACAATGACTCATTTCAACGGTGGATTTCGAGGAGTAAGGATCACAGAACATATACTCCGAGCTTTTAGACAACAATGAACACTTGTATCGATTAATTAACAATTATTATAATGCACTAATGCACTTTTTTTATGTTACAGGACAATTTTACTCTCGAAGTCATCATTGCACAGGAGCATCAAAATAATTACATAAAATAGATAAAAATAATAAAAAATCAAAACGTTTTAATTTAAAATTTTATTAATTAGGTGCATTATTTTATTGGTGGATAGGAAACATTAAAAAATAATATACCACCACTATCTTCTCATACTAACGTTAGGAGGCGTTAACTGAACTAACAGCTACAACCATACATATCTTCTTTGTTTGATTCCATGGCTTCTTCCGGATGCACGCACATCAGCTTGACTTGGGTTTTAGCATCATATACACAGTGTTTAAATCAGTACGGTTTAGCGGGTTTTTTTTTTTTTTTTAATGAATGTACGTAAGTATTCTTCCTGTTCGTAATCTACGAGCGTATGAAACTCGAATTTCACTAATAACGTATTGCTACACTTGGTTCTTACGGCGATAATATCAACCTGGATGTGATAATGTATCGTACAAAGCTGGAAATGAAGAAATGCAATTAATGTACACTCTTACTAATGATAATGCAACGAAGCAGGACGTCTTTATGCGGCTTTTTTTCTACTACACGTGTTCCAGACGAAGAGAAATTTCAACTATTAGATAAATATCTACAATATATCTATTCATTTGAATTAAAAATATTTTACGCCGAACCTGTTAATTAGAATGACAGTAATCCCTCAGAGATTCTTACAGAATAATAGAAATTACTCTAGGTAGAGATCGGTAATTATAAATCGTGTGTTAATTTTGACATTCTTCAATTAAAAATAATAATACAAAATATAAAATAACAAGTCGAGAAATTCGTTATGTGATTGATTTATTACTATATCTTAAATCATATCAAATAATAATGTGGTAATATACATTTTCTATATAAATTTTTTTGTTTTAATAAATCATTTGTCGAATTACTCAACAAAGACAACAATACAATTATAATGTACAGATGAAGATGAAAATATATTGAATTACTCCGATGAATCTTCAATAGTATTTCTGTTTGTTTTTCTAATGCCATACATACGTAAAACTTTTCTATAGACATTGTAATAATCATGATACTAATAACATTGCACTTCACAATCTCGTGAGCGCAAAAAAGAAAAGGATTTTTTTTTATTAGTGGCAGTGATGTGGATTCTGCCGACAATGAAAGCTAAATATTATTTATAAGTTTAATAGAATTATAAGATTAGATTTAATTTTGAAAATGTACTCATACGCGTTACTTTGACTAATAATTTAGTTTGTTTTGAGAATACATTTTTGAACGCATTCAAAATATGGACGTAGTGTTTCTTTCATCATGCATATCCATCGAAAATACGTTATTCAAACTACACGAAGAACCACAATTTTATAGTCTTCTATTGTCACATGAGGCTTTTTCTTTCATCATCGAAGAGTAGATAAAATGGGCCGTTACATTTAGATTATATTTGAGATAATCAATGGATATAACGATTAACACGTTATTATATAAGAAAAATGTTTAATAAAATTCTATAAAATGCACATAATATTGAAATAAATATAAAGTAAACATTTACGTACTTTTCAATTTTGAAGATAAAAAAGTATACCTTAACGAGTACAAATTTAAACCCATTAAAATCAAATTTATTTTGTTTATTTCTTTTGAATTGCGCGCGCTTCTTTGTTAATTTTATTTGCTATTTTATGTAGTAATTGAATAAGTTCCCTATGTACAGAATATAAGATTTACACGTAAATTATTGATTCTTGCATGTATAAATAAACGTTGAAATTGCCAGTAGATAATTAGCTACAAAATTACTTTTAATTATGCATAGTTAAATCGTGCTATTGTACCCATTACCTGTTTTCATGAGACATTAGAATAATATATCAAGGGGCAATACTCATAATTTGTCGGCTTAAATATTCTCCGAAAAAAGAGAAAACTAAGAAAAATACTTAGTATTATTTGGTAATATTTACATTGATTTGATCACAAAAATGATTGATACAAAACACATAAAAATATATTAATGATTGCTTGTGTTTTGTACCATAGCCATGCAGATAAGAGGCACAAAAATAGATACAATTTGTTTACATATGAACTATTAGAGTTTAAAAGTTCTGCCATATTATTTTGTATTTATTTCTATATATACGATACTATGTTAATTCATAATTATTTATAGTGGAAAAAGCGCTGTCTAAATCATATTAGATGCAAATTGAAATAAGTTTTGTATGCAAATGTAACTGATAAATATTTTAGTTGGAATTTTTAATATTTTTTTTGTTGGTGTCATCGGCTTATTTTATATTATTTATTATTATTATTATTTTTTTTTTTATTATAATAATTATTATTATTATATGAAGATATTTTTATTGCAGTCGCGGTGATGTAAAATCTTTTACTTATAATTCCCTTATAATTTGTCATAAGCATAGTTCCTAAATAATAAAGAAATATACACCTAATTATTAAATAACATGTATAATACAGATCCAAATAGTACTTATATTACAAGTAACGGCCCATTTAAATAATAAACTTATACATTATACCACATAAAATAATTGAAATAAGAACCTTTATCTGGCAAATATCTCAATAAACGATTACAATTGTATGTACAATAGCATATGCTCATACAAAATGTATGTGCATAATTTTTTTGCTATTTAATGAATTTTAAAATGTTTTAAATACGTTGTAATTTGTTAATAAACATAACAGCTCTTTACAATTAGTGCTATGTTAGCGATTTCGAATACGTATGTATAAATTCAAGTGATATCAGGTCACATCACGTTATGCGGATAAATGTAACAGAAAATATAATACTCGAAAAGTATTTTATAACGATTGCTTTAAATTATAACAAAAATCTGAATATCCAAGTAAGCATTTCATAGCCTGCGTCACTAACTAAATTTTCTTTTAATACTTCTGCAGAATTAATTAAATAGTAGCATTCGGTATACCCTGGTATGTGTTAATGCCCGTTTTTGATATTAATTCGTATCAAAGCATTGATGTACATCCAGATACAGAATACAAATATGAATTCTTTTTACACACAAATACACGTGTACATTGTTTTCTACAGGCGCCAACGTACACACATATTTATATATAAGTATTATTTACAATGTTATCATGAAATTCGATCACGTATTTGGAAATAATAATTATTACATGCCGGCTATTACTTAGCCAATTCAATTATTTAATATTAATTATTATACATAGTATAAGTGTGTGGATCCTCCTCTTTTATCCGTGTTGCCTGCAGTAACACACAAAGACACTGTGTGTAGTATACCTTGTCCTATTTAACCACAGTTATTTACCGTTAAAAAAGAATCAATATTATATAAACTTCACATGAGAAATATTTTTTCATCTAATTCGTGGATTTCGTTAATTAATAATTTCAAATTGCCACTAAAATATATATTTTTTGATGTTTTATTTTAAAACACCAAAGTTGGAAGAGAATTAAATTTTTCGGATAATTATCTATTAATATTTCATTTACTAATAAACACAATATAAGTAGAAAAAAATGTTTGTGTCTTATTTAGATTACGAATGACTAAATAAAATGACTGAGCAAGTCATTTTGATATAATTATATGAAACTATTTTGCATAAATATTTCTATATTATGGACTAATCTTCCAATCTGATATCATTTGCCAATTTTAGTTTTACATAAGGAACTTATGGATGATATTCTTATGTTCATATAAAAATGACATATTCTGTTCAATTTATAAGCATATTTGAAGAACGTTACTAGGCCTTTAGCTATTCGTTGTTACAGGAATATAAGTACATTTTAATTGAAATGAACAAGAAATAAATTAGGAATTGAAGAGAACTAAAGAAAATAGAAAAATCTAATAGGTCATGTTTTTTTTTGTTAATAATGAATCATAAACAATAGCTATAAAATCTTAAAGGACAAGGAGGCTTAAATTCTCGATAGTGCGTAAATTATAATGATAATAATAGTCTGTTATAATCAATGAGAATGTATACACAGTGAATTTTATAGCTGTTAAGAATGTGGCAGATCAATAGTGTGTGTTTCATTTCCAAAAATTAATCTCAATCTTTTCATAGGTGGTGGAGGCGGATCAAGATTTAATTCACGTTTCTTATGCCGTCTTTCTCGATCCCGAGTTTTATGTTTCTTCCGACGTTTACTTCTTTCAACTCCTTCCACGCGTAATACTTCATATTCAGGTTCATAACTGTCTTCGCTCAGACTAGTACCTGATTCTACTATGTCATCTAAAACTGGAGAACGTTTCATACGTAATGTGAGCTTTAATCTGCCACCAGTTCTTTCAGGAGTTGTGGGGCAAACTCGACAATTACTATTGTCAGTCTGCCATTGATACTCCGATAACGTTGGTCTTTTTTCTATACTACCATTGTTGCAAACGGTCAATCTGGAAAAACAGCATTTCAATTTTTGTTTATATATTATTTGGATAGTACTTACAAATGCTATGTATTATGTGTATAGCTTATAGATTTGGCAGCAATAAGACAACTGAAAAGCATACCTTTTCAAACTTTCACCAACATCGACAGAGTTTTCTCTCGATTGACTACTGATATCCGTTTCCGCGGAATGACTCAGATTACTAGATGGGGGCCATGGCTCTTCAGGTATCAATATCGGAGGATCAGTTTTATTATATTCGTTATTACACTGTACTTCTTCAAGATGCGACGAAACTCCGGACATATGACGATTTTCGCATTTACCGCGTCGTATTATCGATGGTATACCAATATCCTCCAAGTTACTTTCTTTTTCGCTAAATTCATATATATCACCCTGTATGCCTGAATCATCATCCGCTACTCCAATTTCAGAAGCCTGTGGTCTTTGCTGATCCCTTCTTTGACTTCTTGTCAGTCTACTTTTTTCTTTTTCTGTTTTAGCACAGTTCTTGGCTACCACTGCATTCGCACTATTTTCTGTATGACATTGCACATCAGTTATGATTTCATTGAATCGAGATTTCGGACAACGTTTTGTACTTTTCTGATTCTTTCGCGATTTTAGCGGCACATCCGTTATCTCCTTTTGTTGATGGGTGGATCTTTTCAGTGTAAAACTACAACTATCGTCAGAATTTGTATCGTTAACACTCGCATTGCAGTCATTTTCTTCAATTCTACTTAAGTTTGTGCTAATTTCTTTAGCCGTTAGAATTTTAGATTCAGTATCCGTTGTACTGACTTCAGGTATTTCACAGTCTTCAGGTTTGACATCTACTTTGCTTTGAATATTTTTAAAATACATATTGCCTTTTGGATCAAGCTCATTTGTATGATCCAAAATTGCATTACAAGACATTTGAACACTTTCAACACTTTCACTCTTTATATTGGCAGTATCTTTAACTGTATCAAGTTCACAAAATCCAACGGTAACAGAAGTATTCGTTGGATCACTCACAATATTTTCCACCTTCTCTTTCACCCTATCACATTTATCCACTATTATTATACTTGCAGTATCCATTTTGCGGCACTCGTCATCAGATCTAATTTCACACGACATAGAAGATATTCTATTGGGAATTTTTCTATATATCGGTGAATTATAACAATTGATCTCCTGAGAAAATTCATTATATACAACATTACTATCGTTTTTCACGTCATCTACTAACACTGATTTGGAACATTTCGTTAACTTATTAATACAATTATTAGATATTTTTTCAGGTGTTTCACAGAGGTTGCCTTCTTCATTAACATTTTGCGTATTCGGTAAAGTGCAGCAAAAACTGTTAGATGTATTATTTGTGTTTTGTATACCTGGTTCATGATTATTCGTGGCACTTAAATGATCGACATGAGGCAGGGATGTAGAACTTATTTGAACTGAATCACAGGAATTTGTACTATAATGTCTTTTTTTATAACTGAAAGTGTCAATATTACTTAAAATATCTCGATCAACTTCTACCGCAAGTTTAGGTATTCCTTTCTCTTCTATATTATCGTTATTTGCGTGTCTTGTATTTCCAACGATTAATCTAATAGAACATTCTTTCTGAAAGGCAGAGGAAGTCAACTGCTTTGACGCATTGTGAATAGAATCTCGAAGATCAGGCTCAAAATTCGGGGACGAAGATGATGTATTATGAACAACATGATGTTTCGGCACTCTTGAATATACGGTTTCTTTATCTGCTATTGTTCTATCTAATTTTTCTTTGTGATCATCTGATTCTAATGCTGCCGAAGTTTTTTCTATAGATACATCCAAACGGGTAGATTCACTTTTTTCATTATTCTTTGATCTTTTGGACTCTGTTCTCTTTTGAAGCCTATATATAAATGCACATAACATAAGTTTAAACAGGACAAACAGAATTAATACATGAAAAATAAAATATTTAATTTTAATATTTAAATATTAAAATTATAGATATTACCTGGAAGCTCTTTGACTAGTTTTTACATTTCTTTCATTGCTATTGTTTTCGCACTTGTTATGTTGCACTTTGTTTCGAAGATTTCTTGTCACAGAATTAGTATTGGTGTAGGGATGAGGTCGAGAAGTTTGCAAAACATTTTCTCCATTATTTATCGATGGTTGTTGCTGAGCGATATCTGAAAATCTACAGCCTTGTGCAATCAAAAGTTCTGCATCATACTTGGTAAGTCCTTTGCGCCGTAATTCTTTCATACTAAGAGATTGTGGAGCAATAGCTGCGTTGTCAACGAGGACTGCATTTTTTTCTGTCAAAGCACCATCAGCTTGTTGTTTGTTTCTACCCAATGGCTGTTGTCGATGCTTTGTTCTATTAATGCGGTTATCCGTTTCTCTTAAGCGGTATCCTAAAATGTCTTAAGATTTTAATAAAGAGTGCTATAAGATTTTTTCAAAACAAATTTGTATTTGAACTACCGGAAGAAAGTTCTTCTCCAGGTTTCTGACTGGCAAATGCTCCGGTTCCTCTTCTTTCACATGTTTCACATTCGCAGTAACAATTTCCATCTCCAAAAAAATCTTCTGCATAGAAACAAGTTATCTCTTCGCCTATTTCGATATCTCGTAGTACTTTGACGCACGCAGTATCTCGACCGGTAGCTACAAACTGAAAATATCAGGAAATATATAAATATATTTGTGCATAGGATATTGCGAAATTAATAATCTCATTTAATATAAAAAATATATATTTATTAACTTTGCAATTGGCTCTACAATCGTGGTTTATATATGCAGCAGGACCTAGCCACAATTGAGCACAATTTTTTCTGCAACTGTACATCACAGAGAAATCATTTTTCCCTGGATGCAAAAGAGCAGCTTCTTCCTATAAAAAAGAAAAAATAATCTCTTTAGAATACTGATAATATACGCTTATTTTGAAGCGCTGCAACAAACCTTTTCACTAAGTTCAGCAATACAACCGACGAGACAAGATATTTTTTCATGCTTTAACCACTTACGAGTAGCACATATCTTAGCTCCTTTTTGTCCTTCTAAACTGTATCTATAACACGGTTCAATGGCAAATCCAGAATCCTTATCGAAAACTCTCAAATACCTGTAAATCTATAAAAGTGCAAATAATTTGTAATGTTTCTGAAATAAGTATATTAAGTAAATCAGAAAAATATATTTTAAACATTGCTTACATGTTTCTCCAAATTAATCTGTTGTTGTTTAGATTTAGTGTGAGGAAGTCTTGCTCCCCAATCTCCACCCATAAGTTTTTTATAAGTCTTATCATAATTTTGCGTTTGGATAAATTCACAAATAATTTTGCGTAAATCTTCTTTATTTGCTTTGGGTGGTCGGTATCTATAATGAAAAACATAAAAAATCCCGTCAAATGAGAAAGATTTAAAATTGAATAATTTAGAATGAATTTCTATAATATACCTTATATTCATCTTGTGAGTGGTAAATCCTAAATATGGATCTAGTACGAGGGAAGTAGCTAGGTCATCGTTGTCTGAAAGCTCTTTCGGTGTCATTCCACCTCCACCTCCATTCCCGCTGTTGAGGGCATTTGATTGCATTTTTGCACCTACGGATCCACCTAGCCTTCGCTCCTGCTTCCGTGCTGCAGCTGCTGAGCCTTGGATCGACAAACAATCTACCACCATTCTGCAATTCGGACTTTTACTGAAAACACACGGTAAAATTAAAAGATGATTTGCAACCAAAGAATAAGCGTCACATGTCATTTCGTCAAAGTTATCATTCGTAAGTTATCATTCGTAATTAAATAGAAGGACGTCTTGGTAAATTTCGATCGATAAAAACTCGTTAAACATAGATTGAATGGGAAACGTAAAAAATAAGTAGTAAATATAACGACGAACTCGTAGAAATATTAATTAACGTAATTCCAATTGAACGTGAAAAATATAAAATGGAAATAAAAGAAAAATATGAAGTAATGTTTTACTTGAAAAGTCATCGCGGCCGTCTCGCGAGACAGCGATTGGAAAAAGTTTAGTATAGCACAGCATTATCGATCGAAACGCATACTGATTAAACTCTTTTGCATCGTCGATCGAACGGAGAGAAGAATTGGAAGGAGTGTAAGAAAAGCACGACCGTATGTTATTTCCCTAAGTTTTCGCGAGTTGTTAGAAGTATCGTGGAGGAAGGTAGGGACGTACTAGGACCATGCCCTAAACGCTAATGGCGCAGGTAGAACCCGAGCGCTTTACTCGGCTCTCTGCCTTTTCCGAGCTTTTCTAAGAGCCGTTAATCGGATTGATGTCTTTATTCACTTCACTCCTCGGATCGAAGAAAATCCTGACTTTTCGGCAAGGAGCATACTTACCACGAAAGAACGCTCCTTATAGCAGTATTCACGCATTTTTCTAACGATCCTCAACTATTTTCGGGCGCCGCGAAGACGCGTTCGGACCTATATCATGGCAGATCCGATCGCGACGCACACTTTCACACTTTTCTCCTCGAAACTTTCTTCTCGCCGCTGAGTTCAAAACTAAAAGAACTCGTTCCTTTTCTTTACGAAGGGGAGACCTTCGACGAGATCTTTTAATTCAGCTGATAGGAGAGAAGATCCATCTTTTTCGAGTATATGACTGTAGCGTACGTCATGCATACACATATGTGCACTCTGGAATACGACAGAGTATGATCATCCTTTAGGGACTTTGCTCGATGGACCATCTTTCTATTCCTTTTCTTTTTTTCTTTGCTTTCTCTCTCTCTCTCTCTCTCTCTCTCTCTCTCTCTCTCTCTCTCTCTCTCTCCCTCCTCTCTCGCTCCCTCGACACTCCTCCCTATTTTTCTATCTTTTTCAAATTCGCATTAGATATAATTTTAATGTAGAACGTCCGAGGAACGATCTTTCGAAAATAATTGCGAGATTAAAAGCGAATTCGTTGTTGTAAGGTCGGTAACTTCCTTCTATATAATTTAAAGGGATTGACATGTGCTGCTACTATCGCGTGTTAGCAAAGTGTCTAGTACCTTCTAGTTATTTATTGCCTCTCAGTTGATACCTCTGCGTTACCATAGTAACCATACGTTGCATCTTTCTGTAACTAAGCAACAATGTCGACATTTTTTATTCAACAATAATGAGTGCACATAGTATTATAAGATTTATCTCATATATGTGTGTATTATTCGTTGTCTCGAAATTGCATTTTTATCATCAAAGATTTAAATTTGTAGAAAACCTCCTTTTATAGCGACGAACGAATGAATTTTTCAAAAGAAAATATTTCATGGATTCTTCATTTCGATTCGACGCAGAATCTTATCGAGATCTTATCTATCGTACATTTAATGTTCCTGATAAGGACAAACAATGTGACTGTATCCAAGTCCTGGATCCATAACTGGATCATACCGTAGCCTGTAGATCTCGTAATGCGCATGCGTCTACTGTCGAAGTCACAGATTGGAAGGTTCATATCAATCAGAGTTTCGAAAGGTGTTTAAGCATGTCTTTATCGTTTTTCTATTTTCATTCTTATCTCTTATAGAACTATCGCGTTCGTTTAATTTAATTATAATAGAAAATGCCACTTGAATCTGTAAAAGATCAACCAAATTATATGAACAATGTAAAGGATGGAGTCATTGACTTTCTCGCTGGTTCACTTGGTAAATATCAAGTTATTAATCTTTTTTATATGTAACATATAATATACATATTTCTTGTAGAAAATGTAAATTTATTATAAAATAATATCTCCTTATCTCGTGACTTGCAATTCTTCAAGTTTGTTTCCAAATAATCATCTTTTCAATATTTCTCCATTGATAAGAGAAAAATGTTAGACGATTGATAAAATGAAAAAATGTTACGATAGTAGTTTTGCAAAAGAAAATTTGTACTTTTACAGGTGGAGTAGCATTAGTATACATTGGTCAACCACTGGATACAGTGAAAGTAAAAATGCAAACATTTCCATCGATTTACAAAGGAATGATTAATTGTTTTGTAAAAACAGTTAAAACAGATGGAATAGTAAGAGGTTTATATGCAGGAACTATGCCTGCTGTTGTAGCTAATGTAGCTGAAAATTCAGTATTATTCACTGCTTATGGTGGATGTCAAAAAGTTGTTTCTAAAATATTAGGTAAATATTTTTCTTAAGATAGTTACATTATTTGTTAGTCAAGCTTTTTTTCTAATTTTATATGTACGAAGGCGTAGACAAAGTTGAGGATCTTAGTTCACTGGGCAATGCGTGTGCTGGATTTTTCGCTGCATTTTTTTCTTCATTAACGTTATGCCCAACAGAACTCATTAAGTGTAAATTACAAGCAATGCGCGAAATGCAATATCAAACGAATATGCCAACCACAATTATGGTAATAAAATACAATAATTAATATACTTTTTAATATACTAAATTATTATCTTTTGGATATTAATAATGATTACATAGAAACGAATAGGACCATGGGAGTTGACAAGAAATATTCTTAGAGAACAAGGTATAAGAGGTCTATTTACGGGTCTAACCTCGACCATAGCCAGAGAAATGCCAGGTTATTTCTTTTTTTTTGGTGGTTATGAAGTTACAAGAGAACTTTTAGCAAAATCGAATCAAAAGAGAGATGACATTGGTTGGCAAAAAACGATGATAGCGGGTGCTGTGGGTGGTACGGTTCTCTGGCTTGTCATTTTTCCAGCAGATGTAGTTAAAAGTAGAATACAAGTCAGTAATATATTTTAACTTATCCAATGATATTTTTTATCTTGTGGTTTAATAACTTTAGTATGTTTATTAATATTTCGTTATAATTTACGAAGGTACAAAATCTAAAAACACCTGCTTTAGTGGTTACAAAAGATATTATAAAAAAGGAAGGAATTGGGGCATTGTATAATGGTTTAACGCCAACTTTAATAAGAACAGTACCAGCAACTGCAACATTATTTATAACTTATGAATATAGTAAAAAGCTAATGCACAGATTTGTTGATAACTAACTTTTTTTAATACAATTCCTAATTGTTGATGTATCTATGTGTTACTAAGTTAAGATATAAAGAAGAACAAATTAATAATAATAATAATATACAAAATGTACTACTTAACTTGACTACCTCAAATATTTTTAATGAATTAAACGAAATGTCTTGGGTAGAAATCGTTTCAATTAAAATAATATATTTTATGAATGGTGGCAATCTTTTTTCATTGCAATGTCTTTTTTAGTCAAATTTGCCTCTTATTATATGGAAACATTTAAGCAAAATTAGTGACAATCGTCTAGTACTATTTACATAGTACTAGATTTCCAAAGTTTTATGATTTACAGAAAATCTACGATGTAGAGTAATAACAAAATAAATAAGTACGAGTGTTACAAAAAATTCGATCGAAAAAAATTTTTGAAAGACCTTGATAATGTAGAAATAAAATATATATCATGGTTTTGATGATGAAATCATATCGCATATGCTTTTAGAGAAAATTAAAGGTGATCATTTCCTCTTTTACTTAAAACAAAGAATGAAATAAGTTTTCTCTTAAGATTTTTACAATTTATTAATATAGAATTTCTTATACATTTAGGAATCGTAGAAACGATTATTTTCAGAAAAGATTACGTTCTTATTCTTGTTTGTGTGTGTATATATATATATATATACGATATAACATTTCTTTTATGCTAAATTGAACTTGTTATAAGATTTTTCAAATAATTCGTTTTCTCTTCTCCATTTTGTAATAGAAACCATTCGTGACTCGTTATCTACAATGTAATACACGAATTTGAATTCATATTAGAATTGATATATCTATGTGAAAAATTGTTTGAAATGTAAAATATTAAACTTACTAAAATAGGCGTATATCCAATTTTTTTCAGTTGCCTTAATTTTGCATTTGTAATGCCTGTTGGTTTATTAGTTTCTTTCAATGTATGCTTATGATGTATTACAACAAATATCAGCCATTTGATGTTTTTTGGAAATGTATCATCTATTCTCTTGATGTTAACTTCAGGTATTTGTGATAAAATTGGTTCTGCTGAGATGAAATTCTGATGTTCATCCATACCAACGACAATATTATTTTTTACAAATTGAGGTAATATTCTACCACTATATAAATCTACATCCTTTACGATGGATTCCTAATATTAACATATTATTATATTACAGTATCATTTATACACAGAGATTAATTTTATAAATTGACATATAAGTATAGTCATACCTTCAGGACAAGCATAATTTCATTAAATATCTTGCGAACCAAGGATGATGAATTCTCCAAGTCCATTATCTTCCAATGTCGCTATTAAAAACACACATTCTCATTTATTTCCTTAATTGTGAATTATTTTCAATAAAAAATTATGCACAGAGTATTATTAAGCTAAGTAGATATTATTTATATACCTTAGTTGAAGTTAGAAGAGTACTCTCCGAAAGAAATGGTCCAGTATATTCAGGTCGATCTACCTTTATACAGTATTCTAATATGGAATATTCCCAGCCAATTAAATAAATATTACCTTTGCACCTTAAGTTAATATAAGATGGATCCAATGCTAATTTTATCAAATGAAGGGGATAAATATTTAAAACGGCCAAATACCGCATTATACTAATAAACATCCATGGATATCTAGGGAAAAGCAATTTTAAATAACATTAAAGTTTTTCAGCATTTATAAAACATATTTTGATAAATAATAAAATTATAGTTTTAAAACGAAACTTACCTAAATATCTCTTTCTTATCGTCGGATAAACGACAAGTTAATTCCTCAATTATTTTATTATATATAGGATTTGTAGTATCAATAGAGAATGTACTTAAGGCAAATGTCAATTTTTCGATGTCTTTCAATCTTGCATTTTTGATTTCATTGTAAAACCTAAATAATTTAATTAAAGTTTTATTATTTTTAATGAATTGATTGATTGATTTATGAAATTTTCCAAAAGAAAAATGTGCTTTACTTTATTTTAATTCATATTGTATACGTTTACAATTACCTTGTTATAATGACATCCATAAAGGGTTTTGAGTACAAATGTGCCTTACCATAAACATGTACTACATGCGCTAGACATTGAAGATCGAGTTTAGGAAGTAATGGAGTAACACTACTCATTAACAATTTTAAGTTTACAATTTCATTATATTTCATGCTAAACCTTAAAGAGAAATATACGATATTATTTTATTATTGTATAATTATTATTTATAGAAACTTAGTCGAAAGCTTAATATTAATATGTTATTACCGTATAAGTTTTAATAAAGCTGCTAAGCTGATATTATCCACAATCTTTATATCATGAGCTAAACGATTTGTGATGGTTTTCAATAACATAGAATCTCTGATTTTTGACTTACTTTTAAAAAATCCCATCGCTACCAGACCTAATTCATTTATAGTAAAATCATCTAAATGTTTTTCTAAAATTGATTCGACTTCGTACATATTTAGTGGACTATTACGTTTAATATTAACAAGAAACATAAGTTGAATAATATTTTTTGTTGTTAGTTTATTTAACTTTGTATTCATTTTTCTCAATAATTTCCATATAAAATTACTATTTATATAGTAAAGACAATAAAATGCGTCAGCTATTAAAAACATTTTATCAATAGGCCACTTTGTATATTCTTTTACACAATAATTATCTAGTGATGTCATTAAATTATTAAATTCTTTTGTTTTTCTCAAATGTTTAGTAAATGGTAATAAATTGATTAATATTTCTTCTAATAAATCAAATGTAAGATTATTAACATTTTCATTTAAAGCATTTAAGATAAGTTTATATTTTGGCAGTTGATCAACATCAAGATCATTTTTCTTTGCAATATAATGTGACAATGTCTTCAAAGCGGAAATCGCTTCCATGATAGTAGCCGTCGACCAATCTTTATTTAATATTTTTTCTGCCTCCTCATCTGTAATAATTACTTCCAATTTTCTTTGCGGTACAATCGTTTTGTTATAATGAAAAGAATTTTGAAAATATTTCCGAGCATATTGATTTTCTGTTAGTAAACTGTTTTCATCTTCATAGTCATCATATAATTCTTCTTCTGTGGATTTTGTTTCTGCATCACTAAATTGATTACTATACGTTCGAATAATAACAAAATAATTAACTTTTTCTTTAGGTCTTAGCAAGTTATCTATTTTGTCCGGTTTATAGTTAACATTGCAAATGTTTTTGGTATCACAAGTTAACCTTAAAAATATATTTCCATGATTTTTGTATCCTGTTCTAATGACCGATTTTATTATATTATTCATATTGAATGATTAGTTCCTTAATTGTGACATAAACGTTATATCAATATTATTGTTATTTATAATAATTAAATAACAGCACATTTGTATATATTATTTCGGAGATTAGCACACGCGGACGCGCATAAGATGGCACAAACCATACAGGGTGTCTCTACAGGTCACTAAACCATTTAAAAATGCATATGGGCCTATATATATTTTTTCTGAATTTTTCTTTGTTTTTTTTTATCAACATTAGAAATGAATATAAAAAAAAGTAAAAATAGACAATTATGCAAATGATATAATGGTAGGATACTTTGTTAATCTTTATTATTTATTATTAGAGGAATAAATCTCCATTGTTTGTACATAAGAATACTCGTACTTTCGACACCCACATATCATACGTAGATGAAAATAGAGACATTTTTTATAGAATATAATAAATATATTTCTTTGATGATTATGACTTTTATTTTCTTGACGATGATAAACGAACATAGATATGATACAAGGTGTGTCGTTATTCTACATTACTTATATAATTTACAAGCTAAAAATGGTTGAAATATAATCGCAAAGCGAATAAGACAAGGCAAAAAGAAATCATTTTTCTTCTTATTCGATGTATTTTTCAAGAAAATCCATACGTTTCTTTTAATTTTCAAATGTTTACATGCACATACACGAGTAAATAAAAGTACATAGATTTGAATATGTAAATAAGTTAAAAAGTCAATGTATGAAATGTGAGCAAGAGAGTAAGGCATTTATAGAAAATTAGAATTTTGTGAAATATTTGAGCGTAACACGTGACATTTATTTCGGCATTTTTCAAATTAATAGTCGTTCGAGTTGGTCAAGTCTGATAGAAAGATCGCGTCGATCAGTGGTATTCTTTGGTTGTTGTACTTCTTTTTTTTCGATTGTCTATCGTAATCCGAATCGTAGATGTCATGGATGGCATTTAGGCTGATCCCCTAAATATAAGATTTATATAAAATATCAAATGTCTAATGTTAAGTTCAATTCAATACTTAAACTTACGCTCTCGAGAAGGCTTTTCCAAAATTTCGATCTTGGATTCGAGACAAAGTGTCGATTAGTTTCGTGCGATTTCATTTCGCCGTTCAAACAATTTCTATCCCTTTTAGATTCATCGCATTCCTTATAAACTCCAATTGCATTCATCCGTTTTGTCAACATCTGACCTCGACATGTAGGGTAAAAGGGAAACTTTCTGCAAAATAACCATTACATTCAAATTATTATTATATATAATCATTTGTTCATTTTATTTAATATTAATAATTACAAACAAGCAAGTACGTACTCGCAATCAACATCGTCGAACATGTCCGACCATGCGTGAGCATAACAAACGAAGAGAGGGATGAAGATGATGCATCGCCGAAGAAAATTTTTAGACTAAAACATTCATTATTAGATGATCAAATTAGACTTATTTATTGACTATTAATGCTAGCAGATTTTTTATTACATTTATCTTATTATATTTTATATTATTTCAACGAACACAAATTAAACATTTTATTGATATAAGGACAACTTTTTCTTTTCAATACTTTTATCTTTTCTAGGACACGCGTCAATTGAATGGAAAGAAATCTCCTTGTTAGTTTCAGTAACAAGTACGACGGGAATTGACGAAAAACAATGTCGTATCTTTCACATAAAAGAAAAAGTATAAAAGGAAGAGAAAATAATTTACTCCTATAAGTGGATATATGTTGTCCAACATTTTTCTTCAAAAAAATAGGATCTCGCAATAGAGGAAGGATAAAGTAAGGGGTTTCTATCGAGCGTGCACCATACATAATTTGTTTCATTTGTTCATAACACACGATAGAGATACTCGGAATAAAATGCGAACGAAAGGATAAAAGAAAACAAGAAACATACCTACGTAGTTCGAAAGATTGTCTTGATTGTTCAAATTATAAGAATAATTTCGATTTTGTTTATTTCGAATACTGATTGGAGGTGATCGATATCCCGATATATTGTACAATGATTCTTTCTTCGTTATTTTACTCGATACTCGATACTCAAAAAGTGGGAGATGGTAACTGAATAACTGTCCAAGGGATTATTGACGCACGGATCACGTAACGTACACCTCATAAAAAAGAGTTTCGTCTGATGCGTTAACTTTCTTTTCGTAAACCCATTTTGCTTTTATCATTATTTATCTTACAATAAGTATGGATATCTATTTTACGAAGTTAGATTTTCAAATATTTCGGTCACAGAGGGAACACTTCAAAGTTACATCGATTTTTTGATATTCGATGAAAGATATTTTTCTTCGATGAATACTGCTAATCGGTTAACAAGTAATAATAAGCGATAAGCAAAGACGATGAGCTCAGCGAATTGTTATCTCCCCGAAGAATTGTTACCTACACAAAAAAAGATGACAAAATATAGCAAAACCGTGAACTAAAACTTACCTCAGCATCGAACTTCTTCCCTTTTCGTTTTACGCTGCGTTTAGTTAATTAGGAATATTTCATCATAACCACACACACACGTAAATATATTTGATCCATAACGTTAGAAGAGAAAGAGAGAGAGAGAGAGAGAGAGAGAGAGAGAGAGAGAGAGAGAGAGAGANAAGAGAGAGAGAGAGAGAGAGAGAGAGAGAGAGAGAGAGAGAGAGAGAGAGAGAGAGAGAGAGAGAGAGAGAGAGAGAGATTTATAAGTTATTAAGGCAATCGCCTAAATTGTAAGGTCTCATTTCGTTGTATCAATAAACTTGTTCATTTTTACGAAATTAATCAGTCTTATTTGAATAGTGATTTAATCCTATCTCAAATATGATATAATGTAAGTTCATTTAGACACCATTTTTAAGGGGTTTTAACGCGGGTCGTTAGTTTGCCTCGATCGTGGGTTCTCACGTCTATTGAAAATGTATCAAAGGACCTACACACGCGCACATGTCAGAGAGAGAGAGAGAGAGAGAGAGAGAGAGAGAGAGAGAGAGAGAGTAGGTGTTTACGTGATGTCGCAGCTGACTGAATTTAGTTAATTAGCGGCAATCGAAATTGCGGAAATTATACAAATGGATTGGTGGTGTGGCTCGAAAAAAGCCGCTGGTAGCCGCAACAATTGCACTGTCTCCTTTTCATACAAGGATGAATTTCAACGATTTGCACAATTACTTGCGGACGATCATCGATGTGAACGTTTACTAAAAAGAAAATTAATGGTTATTTGCATTAATGTACTGAAATATATCGGAGCGAATTTTCGCGTTAATTCGATAAAAAGAATGCCAAAGTTTTTCCAAATTCATCGTAAATGGAGAGAAAATCGATAGGTCGTTCATGGAACTAACAATAAAAAGAAATAATAAGGGAACGATTGAAACAATTCAATCGTTTGTTCTATTGAAATGCATCAAAGCGAATGCACATTGTTTATAGATACGAATTTATATACGTATCAGCATTTCGGTCATTAGCATTCACACTAGGGACAATGTGCTTGATGAAAATGACGTACTAATCTTCACAACATTTACGAATGTGTACCAAACACTACGCGTTCTTTCTTAGTTAACAATCAAAAACTATCTATATCAGTGCTGTTAAACTAATTGTAAGCGTTAATTAACAATAAGAGAAGTTGGACAGTGTTGTTATAAACAAATGCATACATCGATCATTTGTTGATTCTTTACGAAGCATTGAAGAGATTTGATCTTACGATAATTCGGCTCACTGCGAAGATTAAATGATACAAGTCGGTTTCAACGCGTGCCTCTTCGAATCACCGTTTTCTATTAATTTGTTATCAAATGAATATATTTAAACAATTTTTAAGTCGTGATCTACATTTTTGAAGCATCTCTTGACCATTGGTGTAATATTAGCGTTGAGATAATCAGTCATGATCATTAGCAAGTTTTTCTTTCTCTCTTTCTCTGTATGTGGATTTTTACGCTAAGCAATGCATGTAAGGCGTCAGAATGACGATTTATGAACCAATTATGCGACCACGTACAAGCCCCGTATAAAGTAACACCATGGGGTCACGTTATTAGCAAGATTAATCAATAAGCCTTTGAGCACGAAACGCGTCGATTCGCGATACATGAGGAGAGTTTCGTTGATCGCTCGAAACGTTTCGATATATAGATAACACCTTATTAGTTTGATTTGTCACACGTTTGACATTATATCGATTTTATATTTCATTAATTAATCGGCCATTTGCATATCGCGGAAACGAAACAGCAAATCGAGAATGAAACTCTAGCAATAGGTACTGCGATGTAAACTTTGATATCAATTTACAAAACCACGATCAATTCTTAGCTGAAACTTTTAGACAACGTTTTGTGGAGGAAGATGGTAAACTATGTTCATAAAATGAAACCCGTTCAAGTAGATTATAGAATAGTTTTCGGAATCAATAGTTAACGAACGTAAGAACGTGTGACGCGACAGAAAAAGATATCAAATGGGTCCTTAGATGAGAGATGATCGATAGAAGATCGGTGGAAGACTAGAAAAGAGAATAAAAGGAAAAATGTAATTCGAGTTTTCGCAAAAACGCTTCATCCTCGCTGACTCGTTGAAATCCGGTTAAAACTCGTGGGATCAAAATCTAGAACGTTCACTTTTCCATCATTTCCGTGATTTTCGTAATACCGATTTTCCCTTGAGTCAAACAAAAGATTGAAGATTGATTTTGATTTGACAATCAAAAACTATTGTCATGATTGACGAAACCTACACGAGTATTCTTATTCCGCAAAAGAAAGTTCTGACAAGATTTGACCGACCCTCTTGGATTGATAACGAATTAATGATCTAACAATAAGATGATGCATCGATTTTATCCGATATTCTTCGAAAGTACAAAAGAAGATGAGAGAGATGACAATAAGAATGGAAATAAAGATAGCTTCTCTATCGCGGATGTAGGACGTAGTGGCGACTCTCTGTCTCGTGGCATATAAAAAGATTCCTCCTTCTTTTAGCTCCATTGCGTCCCTCCGTCGCCATCGAATACTTTTCTTTGCTTTAACGTAACCAAAGAAGACGCTTTTGTCTCTATTCTATGAAGATCGATCAACGAGATCGTGGATTGCGATTTTCGATTCTTTTTCGATTCATTTTCGATTCTTTTTCGATTCTTTTTTTCACCTTTCGAGTTTAACTTTGTTTTCGTTTAATCCTGTAAATATCCTAATTCATTAGCTTGATCCACGAGAGGTTTTTTAAATCACGAATCCTTCTTACCAAATTGATTTCCTTTTTTTATTTCGTCGTTTACTCTTTCTTATACTTTTATCGTTCACAAGTTTTCTCTTCGGCCGATCATATTACACAGCATAATTCCAAGCAAATTAGCGTTCAATTTTGATACGAGTTAAAAGAGGATAGAATATTTATAAGGATAGAATATTAACGTTTTTATGATTTTCTAACAAAATCGATGAAAACTCGCTAAAAGTGAAATTAATCTTTAGAGTAATGAAAAACTCTTTAGTTTCTATAGATTTTTTGAAGAGAAAAGTTTATTTGGCAATCGCACGAGTAGACGCAGCGTCTCGTATTCAGCTATGTATCTACTTCAGTAATGGATGCTCGGTAAGCACAAATAATATAAAGGATTATTATCTATCGAAAGTTCGTTAAAAGCGCAAAGTTGTTTATTCGAACATATAAGTACCCAAGTTGAATAGAATTTATTCGCGAATATTCGCGTATATCTAGTGTTTCCAACTCTCGAATAAAACTCTACAAACAATGATTTAACGAAGAAATATTATTATTTGCCACGCAGATGCTTTTTATTCGTTACAATAGGATTCGTTATCAATCGATTCGATCCTCAAACGAGGAGACGAAAGAGCTAAAGTTTTGTTTAGTTCATTTTCCGAAGTGAATTTTAAAAGTGCATCCAACGTAGGTAGCGCACGATTGCGAGTCGATCGTTCGTATTTCCGATTGCTTTTTCGAAATAGAAAACGAAGGGTTTGAAGGGAATGCGACCTAACGTAATTTTCTGCCTGAGGCATAACAATATATAAACTAATAATCGTTGAAAAAGTTGGTCTCTCGTTTCAAGAGGTATTGAGAAGTTAGAGAATTTGCTTAGAAATAATGCAACTTGTACATGATTCAAGATTTACATTTTTTCTTCAGATTTGAATTCAAAAGGTTACTATCCCGATGCAATGATCAATATTACAACTCGAAAGAAATAATTGCAAGTAGCTGTTTGAAAAAAAAACTCTACACTTGTTCTCGTGCGTGACACTATTGAATAAAAAACGAATATATATATATATATTATGAAGGATATTTCAAAGTAATTTTATTAAAAGTAAAACACAGAACGCACTTTAATAATGAAATAATAGATAGAAAAGTGGAATAAGAGGAAAATAAAAAAGAAAAGAAATAAATAGGTAAATAGGATTGTCATCCTCACCGTCGACATTTTAGCGTTGGAAATCTTCAAGCAAATCTTCTCTTTTGAAATGAGAAAAATCTCTGGTAAGAAGAAGCAACCACCACGAGGTTGTCACGAGGCACGAGTTCCTATCGAGGGTGGCGGGTTGTAGTTCACTGAGTAAAATAAGGAGGGGGTTGTTGGTAGCGCGGAGTTTGGTGGTTAGAGAACGAGTGATTGGTCGAGCTTGCGCGGGCTACATTTATACCAAGCGCGAGCTCTCACCCCCTTCTTCATTCTTCTTCCGTACCATCAAGAGATTTCTCCTAGAATCCTGGATGCTGCACCACTATCACACCACCACCACCGCCACCCCAACCACCCTCGTCCTCGTCATCGTCATCCCCGCGTTTCTCCTTTTCTCTTAGGGGCGTACGCTATTCTTATTACGTCATCGAGCTTAGTCTCCACCCAGGAATGCCCGATGATATTACGGAAAATTCGACGAAACCACCAACGATGCCAGAGCAGGGTGGCAGGGGAAGAAAGAGAAAGGAGAAAAAATATAACTGGCAGGCTCCGCGTCTCGGCGCCGAGCATCGACGTTTCTTAAACGCGCTCATGAATGAACTTTCATGAATGACATCAGGGTATTTGTGGCTCCGGTTGTAGGGGACCGTCTACGACAATGAGAATATCAATGGCAGAAACTCAGATGCGAATCAACGAATCGCGCGAAATCAAATTGACTTGTATTCCTCTTGCAAAATATTTCTGCCCACGACCGAAAAGTCAAACTTCGAGACGCATACATAATATTTAATATTATATCCCTTCGCTACATCTTTTCGGAAAAGAATTTAATTCATTATTAACAATGTGCTCGCAAAAGCGTATATTTTTTCATTGGAGATTTTTATTTGTTTTCCATTTAAACAAAGATGAGGATGAAATCTCGGAGTTCTAGTTACGATTACGTACGTTCGATGAATTTACGTAGGAAGGCGCATTTGAAATCAAGGAAAAGAAAAAGAAAGAAATCAAGAGTCTGGAACTGGTGCCCTCCGAAGATCTTAATCTCAAAACGAACTGCGCATTTTGTATTTATAGTTACATATATATCTATATGTATTTAATATACCAGCGCACATCGGAAGAAGATACACAATGGTAACTTTTATGTCTACAACGAAGGTTTCTTCGAATATTTTCATTTTCCTCTCACATCGCGTAAAGCACACGGAATAGACAATACTTGCGTCTAAAGCAATGGATACTTTAATACAATTCGTCATTTTTCCAAGAGTCCTAATAAATAAAAGTATTTACTTACGTAGAAGAAAAAAGAAAGAAACGTCGGATATTATATATAATATAAAAGCACTAAAAAACCATAACTTGCTTGGAAAAAAGAAATGAAAGTGAAAGCATGTGTTTTTTTGAAGAAAAAAGTAGGAGGAATCTACTCTCTCGTAAGAAAAAAAGAAGATGGAAAATTCTAGCGCTATTAGAAAAGCCAAATACCACCTTGGTTTTGCATTGGAGAGTTATTATTTTGAGAAACAATTATCTCGCCGCAATGACGTGGAATATGCTCATTAAAAGCAACAAGCAAGACTTGACAAATATTCGTTCGACGACACGAATTTCTTTTGTTCGGCTTTCGTATCTTCCCTTTACATTGAACAGTTTATTGTACATTGCCGCAATTTATGTCGAAAATAACTTTTCGAAATCTTACAAACTGAAAAATATTTCTTGATCATATTTTCCATTTATATTAGCATACATTATATATATTTTTTGCGAAGATCTAACGAGTTGCCTGCCGGACGACCTAGGAAATTATATTTTTTAATATAAGCGGTGAATAATTAATTCAGCGTCCCGGATGGATTGAAAGAGACGGAAAAGAAAGATGAAAAAGACAAAAGGGAAATATGTGTAGGTGCCGAGGTGGTTTTAAGGAGAAATGGGAGACAGACCTAGCGGCGCCTTCGCACCAGAAGGACCTGCGTAATTCAGTATTTATCGCCGCTTCTCTTATATATCCTATTTTCACTATATCGAGAACTAACAATAAGACAAAGATACGTAAGAGAAGTAAAACAAATTTTTGAGCCCTTCCTGATGAATTTCAAAAAGATTTCTTTTATCGCGCTCGGCCCGCGGAAAAATTCTTTATCGAGGAACAACAAATACATCGATTAGAACGAAATATAAAGATTCAAGCGAAAGAAAGTCAATCGTTACTATTAATTCTCGATTTGTGTCAAACTAATTACTAACGCTTCGTAAGTGTAATACAGGATCATTTAATTGACTTCATTTATGTAACGAGAGAGAGAAATCTATATAGGTAGGAGACCTCTGCAGTACACAGATTGCAGATTATGGCAACGGTAGTGCAAAATTGAAAGACGTAATTTTCGCGTCTGCTTCTCTGAAAGTTTCGTTATTCTTTGCTATAATTGCGATAATTGAATTCACAACATTTAAAATATCAATTAATTGCGTAATTACACGTGCCGATCTTTATATCCGAATATCTGTTGCTCTTCATTTAATATTTATGCGGTATCGGAGATAAATCAAAGAAATGTATCAAACGATTCGTACATCGATAAACATTGAAATTTTTCTTTCATAAAAGTTCACTTTTAGTACGTTTATGAGTGTTTGGGATATATAGGACAGGTTGTAGGATGTGCGTAGGTTGCTGGCGCCTGCAATAAGCTAAGCAGATATACATTCGTGTTCTAATTATCTGCATTCGAGCTCAACAATTTTAGATTCTCTGATATTGTTTCGATCGGAAGAGTAAAAACATTACATTTTACAAGTTTTACAATCTTATGTCAAATGTATTATCTTGGCGTCGCATCAACAATCTCGATCATTCTCAACGATAGTTGGAGGTTTCATAATTGCAGAAAAACATCGTATCGTTTTGCTCATAACATTATGTTAACTACTTGACTCGATAATACTCCTTACCTTACCATTTGTGCGATGACTGTGACTATTAGTGATCTTCTTAGCGGCAACACTACCATATGATTTACAGTAATTAAGTTAATGGGAAGAAAATTCAATAATCCTTATTCATATGGTCTATTGGTTCCGAGTCAGTAATTAAACGAAACCTTTCCTTTTTTTTACTCTATATATTTCTTTTAGGCTTATATCAACGTGAATTCTTTTTTTTTTCTAAAAGAAATCAAGCTTTGACTTTACGTGTAAAGTTTACGAAAAAAAGTTCAGGGTAAAACAAACCGTTCTTCAGTACCTTAATCGACGACAATGGGTCCACATATTCTATCTAGTATTCTTATCATCTTTCTACCATCCCTCTCGAAGATACCGAAAGCCTTCCAAATTTTTGTAAAACTTCTTAACTCTCTTAAACGAATTCCTTCCGATTCGTTTCGCGCGTACGGACCCCACCTCGTCTCCTTTCTAACAACTTTTTCATTAAATTCGACATTGATGCGATTACGAAATAAGAGAGGATCTTTCAAATCTTTTCTATTATCAGAAAATCTGATTCTGATCCATTGTTTCGCGTATACGTACTTCTTCTACATCGTTTAGTTTTATCAAACGTTTATGGCAATCTAAAGCGTTAATATCTCATTTGAGAAATGACCATAAAAAGTAACTATAAATGAAACAGGATAGTCGTCGAATGTCCACACCATTATCGTTCTCCTTTACGCTACGTTCATCAATTATGATCATCGTTTACAATCTCAAACGTCTTGTCCTCATTTTCGTGGATGAAACGTAAAAGATCTTATTTCGCGCATACATGCTTATATTATATATTTATGCATTTACTATTTATATTTACGATATAATTTCAAACGCTATAAAGTTTTATAATCTATACCTTTTTTTGTATCTTATCCGTTATATCATGCAGGAATGTAAGAATTTTGCCTATCATAAGGGACCGCCTCCGACATTGCACAGTGGCGCGCAAGCATCGTGTGCGCGTACGATAAATTGTATTACTCGTTTCAGTCGATATTACAGATTTCTATAATATAGAATGAATTATAAAATGTAATCAAGACGTTTTTTTAACGAAAAAAAAATTAGAAAAAAATTAAATTATCAATATTACAAAACGAAGAAAAAATGCGAATATTACGGATACTATTTTGTACTATTTTCGTAGCAAGTATTCAATTAATGTATACCTATTCGCATGTAAATGAAATGAATCGCTCGATGTATTAAGATGCATTTCAGATATATTTAACATAATTTTGTATTATATTTTATTACAATCTTGATATCTATATCTTTCGTATAATAACAAACGCGTTTAACAAAAAATTAATATTTCTCGAATTTTTGATATATGAAATGTCGTTTACGTGTATATAAGCCTTTTACTACTCACGCTACGTAGCCATGTTTGTGAAACGTCAGTAACGTGACATACGCTTGAAACGTCAAACTAATATTAAACTTGTAAATACATTAATATTTTGATCGAATGTATTGTTTTTCATTATACCAATCAATACAAAACGAATGAACGAAAATCGTCATGAATACGTAGTAAGTTTTAATCGAATAATATTTATAAATGAGAACAGAAAATATCCTACAATCGTTTTATTTTCATTTCCTCTTGTTTGATGATTAGATCTGTATCAGTAAACGAATAAAACTATTAGCAGAAATACTTTTCTTTTTTAATCGAATTTACTTTCTATTACATTAGATAAAAATGAAAAATTTATTTATGTTAAAAGCGACAGAAACAATTCAGGAATATCGGGAAATTCGTTTGATCGGTGGATACAAAAATCAAATGCACAAAATGACTCTCCCATAATTAAGATGCAACATCAATATTGGGTAACAAAACAAGCCTTATCACGTAAGCTAGGAAAAAAAGAAGATGATTGTATAGTCGCTTCGGATGCGGAATTGGATGCCAAACTTGAATTATTTCGTAGCATTCAAGAATCCTGTTCCTATTTGCAAAGAGTTATTGATAAGTATCAAGAAAGATTATGCAGTAAGTGTTATTCTGGAAAATGATTCATATTTTAATTATCCAAAGAAAACTAAAACAATAATATTTGTAACAACGGTATGTCTCTGCTTTCTAGGTCTTGCACAAGAAGAAAATGCTATGGGTCGTTTTTTAAAAGAAGCTGGTAAACAAGATAAAACGAGAGCTGGCAAAATGATGTTAGCTGTTGGAAAATCTTTGTCTTATTCCGGACAACAAAGGCTTGCTCTAAGAGTACCATTGGGAAGGTTGTATCAAGAGGTTGAAACATTTAGGCAAAGAGCTATCGAAGATACATTGCAAAATGTTCAGTCCATGGAAAAGGCACGAACAGAATATCGCGCTGCATTATCGTGGATGAAAAATATTTCTCAGGAACTGGATCCAGATACCTCCAAACAATTGGAGAGATTTCGAAAGGTTCAAACACGTGTCAGGCAGTAAGTATTTTTTGTATCTGTAATTAATAATATTTGTCTTGAGAAATAATTTGAACCATCTAACTGCTATAATATAAATATAGAGGAAAACAATTATTCGATAACTTGGCTTTGGACTGCCTACAAAAAGTAGATTTGTTAGCCGCAGCCAGATGTAATATGTTTAGCCATGCCTTAGTTTTATATCAAAGTACTTTGCTTAATTTTACTAAAAAATCTGCACAAGCTTATTCTACAATCGCGAATAGCTTCAAAGGCTATCAAAGATACGACTTTATGGTTGTAAGAGAACTTGCAGAAACCTCTTCTAAATTGGCACAGGAAACTGGCGGGGATGACGATCCTGATAACAAAGATAAGTAAGTTAGAAACGAAAAATGGAATTATTCGTAATATAAGATAAAGTATTCATCTCTTTTTTTCTTTTCAGATTATTATTTTTTGAATCAGAGTATCATGACAATGTCGAAGAAGCTGAAGAGGTAAAACCAACTACAGAATGTACAGATAAACCAAATGAGAAACTCTTAGATATCGAATCTGATCCAAAAGATAACTTGGAGTTGAAAGATTTAAACACTAATCCAAATTTAACCAAGAATGGGGTAGTAGAACATTCTAATACCGAACATGACAGAGAACTAAATCAATTTTTTGGAGACTTGAATCTTGAAATAAATAAATCTCTAGATGAGAGCAAACAAAAACTAGACAAAATAAACATGAAAACTCATTTAGATATAGATAAAAGTTTGTCAGAACTTGATTTGGCAATGAATGTATTTGATATATGTGATACAGGTTTTAATTTAACAGACTTGTCTTCTACAATATCGGAAAATCAGAGTAACCAGAGTTCTCAACCGTTACAATTGTTGACTTCGGAAAATGCTGCACTTTTAAATGATATTATAAATGACAAAGATGAAAGTAACTCTAATGAGTGGGATGCTATATTAAATGATACATTCTTGCCACCAAATATATTAAAACAAAGTTTGGGTGATGCAACGCTTGGCGTTGGACAAAAAGATATGCAACTTACAAATGCAGATGATAAGGTAAATTTGTTTATGTTAAGATACCTGAGATATATACCAAATGTTCCACATACCAAGTATTTGCACACATCACATTTGATTAATAATGTATGTATATTGTTTGCAGAAAAAAGATAAGGTTAAAAAGAGCAAAGGTAATTCATGGTTAGATTTATTTGCAGAACTTGACCCATTAGCGAATAATCCAATGGAAAGCTTAGGTAGTGATGGAAATGCACCCGTATAATTTGTATGACGTCGATATAGTATTGTCACGAAACAATGATTAGTTGCATTTGATAAACGGGACAAAGAATGATGCTTTATTTTTCATTATGCATACCGAGTGTTGATAAAATATTCATCTGTTAATCAACATCAAGTGATTGCATAAACCTATACCTGCATTTAAGCTATTTAAAATAATGAAAAATATAATTAAATTTAATATTTTAAGAATGTGGTTTAAACATAACCAGGATAAAGAGATATATTTCCATTTCATAAATTTTTCATACAAGTTCTCTACCAAAGATACAAGCTCCAAATAGTTATTAAGGTCTACCTGTCAAATATTTATTTAAAATATATGAAAGAAATTTTGTTCTCACGATAATAAAATGTATTATGAGATTACTATATAAAGGTTATAGTACAATTTGCCAGAAGATGCATTGAAACATCGAATGTATTTAAGCACTCTCATATTCTCTTGTATTCGTAATCTTTCTAAATGTTTGATTTTTCTTATTGTAATCGAGAACTTGGGTTACAGACCTTTGTTTGTGAAGTACTCAAAATGTACCAAGCAACATTCCATACCCCTCCCTCTCTCACTTTCTATGTTCGTGGGGTATATGTTCATTTTCTAAGATAATTTTTTTTCTTTAAATTAAATAAATATAGTGTAAATAAGCTACAAGCTCAGGCTTACAAGTATTATTTTCACCTTATTTCAGTAGCTTTGAAATGCTTATGTATTAACAAAAGCACAGGATCACAGTATTAATTCTACATCAAATAATATCATTCAAATTAAAAATTCACAAATTCAAAATCTAACCTTCGTTATTAACATGATTAATGTTCATGCATCGTAGAATTGTGCCATGGCAGTTTTTACTCTGAAATGAAGATGATAATAATGTTAAAACTCTATCATATATGAATGTTTTATGTTCTTAATATACGCGTGTAGTAACTTATAATAAGAAGAAAAAATAAAAAATATATAACAACATACTTATCAAATAATTGAGAATCTTTTGTGTGACGTAATTGTTGGAGGATACGATAAAGGCCTAACTCTTTTAAACGTGCTTGGCGTTGTGCTGCTCCAGGTTCTTCTCTCCATACTAAATTGCACACGCAAAAGATTGCTGCGACTTGTAGCTTTACATTGCTGTGCATCTACAATAATAATGAAACATTTTACATATGGCATACAATTTAACAATATAAACAGTTAATTTTGCTTAATACTTATTAGTTATTCCTTAATATCTACAAAAATGACTAACATTTACCATATAATCCATTAACTTTTTTAAAACATCTTCATTAGCCATAATGTGATCTCTGGCGCGATCACCGTCAGCTACATTTGCCAAAATACAGAGAGCTTGTTCCTTCACATCTGCTGGATGTTCTGGATCTTCTAATACTAATATAACTGCTTGCATAAAATGAGCAGCATGTTCACCCATTATACGATCTATATGTGCTTTTGTAGAAAGCAAATTTCGTAGCAAACCAAGTGTCTTCATTAAAACCGCTAATTCTGGGTCAGCCAAAAGACGAAAGATTTGGTCAGTGCCTAAGCAAGATAATATTTGTGACTTGACTCGTTGTTCCGCTTGAAAAGCAACATTCATTAAAGCCCAAATTCCGTTTAATCGTAATGCTGGATCGGGACGTTTGGTAAGAGAACATAATAGTTCTACTCCACCAGATTCAAGAATTGGTTCTTTACTTGGACTGAATTCTAATAATAAATTACACAAAGTACTTGAAGCAACAGTCAATAAATCATCTTCGCTCTCTGTTCTACCTATGAAGAAATGATAATAAAATCATATTGGATCAATAAATTAAATTTATTGTATATTTATTTACCATTACCAACAATAATATGATACCTTCCAACCCTTTATCTGCACCATGAAGCAATTGCATGAGGGGCCTCCACACAGCATGATCTTGAAACGTTGTGCGAAGCTGTTGCACGCTTCTAGAAAGAGAATGTAAACATCTAACTGCAGCCAAACGAACTCGAGGACCTCCAGGATCTTGTAAACCAGAAACAACTTGTTCCATTAAACTTTCTGTTTCAATAATGCGTTTTCGAATTCCTTCGTCATTAGCACCAAGAGAAGCGAAAGCTCTAAATGCTGCTTGGCGCATATCTTGCGTTAATGTCGCATCTTGAACCTATAAAAAGGTTTAATAAAATTGAATTTATGGATAATTTAATATTAATTTATATTAAGAAAATATATCAACTCTACCTGTGAATGTGGTCTTAGTAACTCGGCTAATGTTGGAATGAGATGATTACTAATAGAAGCTAGACGTTGCAAATCTGTATCAACTTCTGTAAGATAAGCTAAAGTTTCTGCTGCAGCTATTCTCTCTCTTGGTGGTCGATCTCTATGACAAAGTCTCACAAGACAAGGTAAAGCACGATATAAAACTCTCGGGTCCGTAGACGACAATGCACCAGCCCTATGCATGTATGCTATACATCTTGCAGCTTCCAGTTGGACTAACGAGCTTCTTTCACGTCCCATCAATTGTCCTAATGCTACGGGCACAAGTTTACCCCTAAGAGTATTACTTGTTGTTGCTGCAGCAACCATAGCAGATACCATATGATTTTGATAGCACATATTTGCAAGACAAGCCAACGCAGGTAATTGTACATCGGCTAATGGCGAATCGAGTTGCATCGCTAATGTTTCAACCGCTCCTCCTTTGGAAAGGGCATTTTGTTCCTCTGCAGTCTAGTAATATCAAATAAATCATTTCTATCTTACTTATAGAAATATTAAAAGCTAGACGTATCGTTTACTCATACCTTACATGCTGTTGTCAAAATAGTTGCTACACAGACTTGACAAGTAACAGATCTACTTGCTAACGATAACAAACGTGGTACCAAAGCAGGATCCTGGTATATAGAATGAACAGGTGCTGAAGTGTGTTGGAACACTGTACGCAAACAACGCAAACATGCTTCATTTAAGGAATCTAAAAGTTTTCCTTTTCCTTCTGCATTAAGATCAGAAATAGACATAGAAAGCAAAACTTGAAGAAGTAATGGTACCACACCAAGTTCAATAAGAGCTAAGACATGTTGGTCAGTACCCTTAGCCAAAGAACCTAATGTTACAGCCGACTCTAATTGTATACGCTCTGCAAGTGGACCAGATGAATTACCAAGTAATTGTAACAATCGAGGCACTACACCTTGTGCTATTACTGAACCTTTTTGTCTATTGCTTCCAATTACAGAATTTTTAAGGCATCTAAAACAAATAATTCAATGTTAATTCAACTTCTAAATATACACAAGATTATATGTATTTATAAAAAAGTTTCTCATGGATAGTTAGACATATATAAAACAAGTTCATTTTAATCACAATAATAGCAGTTCATTTAAAATGAATTTAAAGTGCAATATTTATGATTTATTTAAATAATAAAGTTTTATATAAATTATTTATATAATTTACTACCAATTCATGACTTCTCAATGACTAACGTTGGAGGGGTATGTATATTTTAAAAATAATATCTCTACATAATCGGAATTAGAGGTTAAGTCTCGCGCTCACTCACATAATAGCTTGTACACATTTATGAGGATCCGGCGAATACAGCTCATCGATGTAACTCCTTGAACTTTCAACATCCTAAGTATAAAATGAGAAAATTATATTTTTAATTCACTATCGTTGACTATACTTATACGATTTAAAGAATACCAAAATCAAAAGCAAAACCGGTGCAAATTTCTAAGTTTAATCTCGACGACTCACCATGAATGGCTGCATCACCGAAACCATACTTTCTCTTTTTATTTCTACATAAGTATTACTAAATCTTTTGTTCTACTATATTTCGTTTGACCGATCACCACAAAGAACAATCGATGCCAGTTTCCTTATTACGTGAAAATTCGGAATTTTTATACCCTAACCGAAGATAAACTACGTTCTGATAGTGTAGCAAATTTTGTTACAGTTTTGCCAACTATTGGAATTACTTCAGTCCAGTCAAAATTATTTTTCTCTGTTGCCAATAGGAGCGCTAATATTCCTACCAATAGCATTCAACATATGAATCATTTAAATAATATGTCAAAGATATATATAGAATATATATAGAAAATTTTACATTTTTATAACTTTTGCCTATTTTGCTAGTTCACTATCAAACAGAAATTTTAATTTTATAAGATCTGAGATAATATCAAAATCTATGCAATAATATTTCTACATATATAATTATAATTGTTATTTAAAAATATTCCCCAAGTTCATATCTCTAATAAGGGACTATGGCTTACTAACAAGGGGATATTTCACCAGAATTCCATCATTACGTAATTTATATAATTAATAAGGTTTATTAGATTTTAAACATTCTCACTTTAGGGAAAGTTTCAACATTTCTATATATATAATTTATTATTTCTTATCTTAATATTTGAAATTAAAAGTCTAAGCGAGTCAAAAGTTTAAATAGATTTAAAGACAGTCCATCTATTTAAATCATACCCTCTTAAATATTACAAAAAAAATGAAGAGAACGATTTATAAAAGTGCAGCCTACCAAATTAATTTTATCATCGATAAACTTTTCTGATAAATATCTATATAAAAATAACAACAATTTCCAGTGCGTTAATTAACATCAATGTACTTCTGGCGATTGCGAAAAGAGCACAACAAGAACCCAGAATTGAAGTAATGCCTAAAAAAATGTAAAAAGTAATTAATAGATATTTATTTGCAATAACAGATTTTAATTGATTAGAATAAAATTGACTATATACTGACCATATAAATTAAAACCAAAATTCTTGCAAGTGGATATCGTCTCAAAAAAACTCCCGTACGAATACTAATAGCATCTAATGAAGAATAAGCTCTTTTCACTCGTCTGGTGACACCAGTATCGAATGGTGTTTCCATTAAAAACATAGGAACTTGGGTTTTTACGTCATCATTATCATTTGTATTACTGTATGTTACATTTCTATTGGAATTTCTTATAATAGTTCTGAACTCGTGCTAGAAGCAAAATAAATTATTATAATTAAAATAGATATTCATTTTATATTCTACTTAACTTACTTCTAGTTTTTCAAACTGAAGACGCAACGCATTACGTTCTGTAGTTATATTTTCTAATGCTTGTTGTTTCAGAACTAAAGTTTGTGTAAGAGCTGCCAATCTAGATTCTACTTCGCTATTCGGTGTAGACGTTGCGGACACTTGCAAACGGAGTCTCGATATTTCTGCATCTTGTTTTTGTATTTGTATAGTATAATTATTTTGTTGATTAATTATTTCATCTTTCAATGACCTTATCTCCTAAAATAAATTATATCTTTCGTATAAAGATTATTTAAAAATAAATTATTTTATTAATTTTTATTTTTCTTCGATTGAAAAATCTTCAATTGTATACCTCTGAGTGTAATCTTGCAATTTCTTCCGCGTCTTGTCTTTTTTGCCTTTCACTCGCAAGACTTTCTTGAAATTTTAAATTTACTTCATTATATCTTTGTCTCATCTTTTCTAAAGTAAGGTCGCTAACGTTTAATTCATCGCGTACCGTTCTTAATTGTTCATGAGTCTGCTGATTTTCTTCTCTGAGGAGATCGCGCTCTTGCCTGTAATATTATGTACATGTTTATTGAAGAAAGAAAATAAATTGTGGATAGATTTTTCGTTAAAAAATTAATTAGAAATATAGTTTAGTAGTTATTACCTCAATTGTTTCAATTCTACAAGTGTAGCATCATCTATGCCTGTAAATTCACTTCGCCTTAACTCTGCTATTAGTTTCTCTTTGTCTTGTAGTATTCTAAAAGCTCTTGCTTTATGTTGTTCTAATTCAGATCTAGTTGAAAGTAATTCTAATCTACTTCTACTAAGAGCAGTTTGTAAATCTGTCATCTCCTTTAACATTTGAACATTTGTAGTTCTTAAGGATTGCAACTTATTATTTAACACTACAATTTGTTTTTGATGATCTGTTAAAGTTTCAGATGAAGATTTTAATAAAGAGTCAGATGAAATCATTAATTCATCCGTTTCTAATAATTGTAATTTGGAATCGTATGAATATTTTGGCTCGACAACTTCCAAAGTATGATCTAGATAAAAATTGAAAAAAATAAAAAAAAACAATAAGTTTTCACAATATACCATAACAAAAAGAAAAATTTTAATAAATAATTAATAATTATATGTAATTTACCATTATCCGCAGTTCTTTGTAGCATTTGCGAATGGAAAGCATTATCTTGATATCTATGCATTTGATTTCTTAAATGCATATTTCTAATTTGTAGATCATTTTCAAAATTGTAATTTTCAGCATCAATTGCATTTATAGAAGTAGATGCGCTTTCTGGATTTGATTCGTTATTCTGAGTGGACAATTGCAATCTGGGATCTACATTATTTGTAGACTGATCCATTAATAACGAAGATATTGGTGATGACAATCCAGATTCAATTGCTGTGTTTGTCACACTTTTGGATGATGTATTTAGATATTCAAGAAAATTGTCTTCGTGCGTAAACTGGTTTGAATTTTCCAAGGAAGATTTGGTAATAATACTATTATCGTAGCTGAAATGGACATAAATACATAGTTCTTATAAAAAATATATTTGGTAATGCCTTAAATTTTTGTTAATGTTTTGTTAAGTGTATATACAGAGCACTTCATTACAAAAATAACGTTAATATTTACCGCTTCCAATAATCACTGTTCAAAACAGTTGCACTATTTTTATCTATCTTATTCAATAGGTCCTCTACTTTATCTGTAATATCTGACAGCCAAGCCATTTGTACGCATATACACACCTATGTGCTATGGCGTTTTTACTATTATATTTTCTACCAATAAAAATACTTTTTAAAATTTAATTACCAAATCTTTGATTTCTAATGTTTTTATCTTAATCCATTAGATTAACACTTGCATTTAGAAAGCAATTTAAAAAATAAACAAATCGGTAAACTAGAACTGTATTCTTTTTTTACCGTAATTATTACAACTGATGGCAATTACAGATTAGTACTGAAAAGTACTAAAATACATACTCGCAAATTCTCGCAACTCGCTCGTGGTTTATGCTGGTTTCATTTACAATTCCGATATATCGCAGTGGTGCAATCATCTTTAAAAGTACATCCATAAAGCACTTGTACATAGAATGGTTGTGTCTATGAAAATATAGAACGGCTTATTAAAAGAGGATTGGAGGATCGAGAAAAAATAATTCTTTTGTTCTGATTGGACCGCAGTAAAACAGCGATAGTAAACAATTTTTTTTTTGCTTATACAATCCTAAAAATTATTATTAAATCGATATTTTAAGGTTTACTTGATTTGCGTATATGATTGTGTAAAAAATCTTTACCATATTTCAAATATTTTTAAATCTGCAATTATTTTAATTCTGACAATCAATTTAAATTTAATATTTTAATGAAACTACTTCTACTTGTTAGTTTCTTTCATTTGGCAATCGATATTTTGTACATATACCACAGCAATACATAAAATTAATAAGATTATGCATTGATATTTTATCGCCTAATTATAGATTAGGAGACAAGGAATAACATAACACATGAAAAGGGAAATTTTGCTGAAGAGACGATTCATCAAACAGTATTGAAGATTTTATTGGGTCATCAAAATTTAATAATAATGCTTCTCACTTAATAATTATTACTTTTAACTCTTTTGTAGTATACTCATGATTTATTTTAGAATGAGTTATAATAATTCTTCTACTTTTTCTAACAGATACGCATCAAGGATTTTATTCATATTAATCTCTTATGCTTTTGCAGAAAGTGCTTCAAGATCTTTAATGCACTGTTGAAGTGTTGCTTTTTCTTGTTCTGGTGTTATTGCTTTTAACACATTGTTTATAATCCATTGCACCATATGTTTTTGAGCTATTCTTCGTTCTACTATCTGTATTTGAGCATTGTAGTCCAAACGTTTCTTTACCTAAAGAAATTAATATTAGAAATAAATATCAACTGTTTGAGTCTCCAGCAACACGATCACACTTGGCATTTGTAGACACAATTTTTTTAAATATCCTCGAGACTCAAGCGGTTAATTTATATGAAGTGTTATCTCTGTATTCTATCGAATTAATAATGTATAAACTATATTTAAATATATTTTTATACTATAGCAGCAATAAAAATGATCTACCTCTTGATAAACATGAGCAAGACGTTCTCTATATATAGACTCCAATTGTATTTTGATATTCTCTCTCTTGGCTTCCATGAGAAGACTTTGCCCTTCTGCGCTCCATATAGCATTCTTGGTTTGGTTTATATTATCTTCTGCATTTTTAATGCCTTCTTTTCTTTGATCCTCAAATTCTTCAATTTCTTTATTTTGTTCTTTTTCAAGATATTTGGATACAGTAGGACCAAATTTTTTGACTAAAAATATCCATATAATCACAAATGAAACAGCATTATGAAATTCATGCTCCAGAACATAGATTTCTTTAGAAAGTAAATATGTCGCTACGCTTGTACCAAATATATACGGTCCTGAAAATAGAAAAAAAGTAAAAAATAAATAATCAGTACTATTATAATAATACTATACAATAATGGAGTGCAATGAAAAGTTATTTACCTGTAACTCCAGTTTTTGGATAAAAGAAAGTAAACCATGAGTCAGGAAGAAATCCAAATCTGACAGGAGTTGGATCTACTAGACGTGTAGGTCGAGGACTATTTGAAGTAGTAACTGTCTGTACGCCACGAACAGCTATTGGTAACATTTGAGCTAAAAATCATATCCAAATACATCAGTATTAAAGTCTTTCATTGTAAAATAAATATCAATCAATGATTTATAACTACCATGAATAAATCCGTTGGGTGCTAGTGGAAGTACAGATTTAAAAAATACATGTCATTTCAGTTACAATAGAATCGATTGATTTAAATTAAAGTCATTCAAATATGAATAAAATAAAAAAATCTATTATTATATAATAAGAATAAAATAAACGGTAACTATATGTCCAAATTATGATGATGTTAACAAATATGATATAATGTATCGTTTGGATGTCAAGAATATGTTTAGTATTGTTGTATTTTTAATACATTAAATTACATTTTAAATATAAATATCAATTACCATTACGAAGAGCAAGTCTGGAGAACATTTTGGTGGCACTCTTCTTCGACCGACAGTCGTCACTTCCACGGGTCTTCGTAGTACGAAAACTCGAGACAACCCGAGATTTCCCGAAATAATACGAGACTGTCCGAAATCTACCGAGACTAACCTTTTTAACCGAAGTGGTAATAACCAGTAAGTAGGTAACTATTAGTATATTTTTGCATGCTTATTGGTTACTTTAATTTCCAAATATTTAAACCATATGGAAGAATTCTAATAGATTCTAGGCTAGTATATTTGTCAATTATTATTTTATATAAATTTAAATGATATTATTCATAGTAAATTTTATTATTAAATGTATAAATGTATAAAAATTAGGAATAATTTACCATATAGACTTTTAATCTAATAGATGATATATGTGTTTATACCAATCATATCGATCAGAAAAATCGTTTAGGGATTTCAAAAAATTATTCTAAATGGTACATTATTTAGTAACAACATACTATTTTTAAAACAACTTATTATATATAAAATAAATGATGTGATTAGATTAATCCGAATATTTTTTTATTATAAAAATAATAATGTAATAAAATATATAAGAAATAGAAAGGAAATGTAAAGTTTTGAAAAATATGCGTTAAAAATAAGTACTCGGCGAATGGTAGGTACGCTCCTGATGGGGAGTTTGCAACTGCGTATTCAAGCGAACTACTTCATGCAGTCAAATTTGTAGAAGCAGATTAAAAAGGCGTAGAGGTACTTAGTAGAACTTTAATCTATTATTAGAGTTGCTAATTTAGGGAAAAATGTTAAATAAGTGTTTAAGATAAAATGATAGATGTTAGAGGAAAGAAGCAAGTGTTTTGAGCAGCGCTTTCTCCTAGCTCCCCTCTTCTCTCGTTCTCGCCTCGTCTATCCCTCTTTTCCTCTGGCACATTAACTGTTTCTCTCTCTTTCTTTCTTACTCTCGTTGTTCGTGACGCATCGTATCCCCGCAACATCGGTTCACAGTTACTTCGTGCTGCTTCTAGGTTTAAGCGAAAGGGAAAATATCGACGGGGCTGGTGGGGTATATCGTGCCAGCAGTGATTTTTCCTACAATATTCCGACGTTCACCACGGAATAAAGGAAATTTCGTATCCCAAACGCCTTCGTGGCACGTAGGAAACGTCAAGACGTCACTAAATATCATCAGGCGTAAGCTAAAAAGCTCTGATCTGAGAGCTACGATATTCCAACGGGAGTTTCGGATCGAGTCAAACTTCCTGTTACTTTTCCCTTTTCCTAGGACTGTGCGCAGGGGGAACAGGAAAGCGTTGTTAAACTAAAGAGACGTAAAGAAGCCACGGGTGACATGGCGTCGGCGGTGACGCTGGTAATGGGGAAGAGCGATTTTGTGGTGGCTGGAAAATATCGACTCTTGAGGAAAATCGGTTCGGGTTCTTTTGGCGATATTTATCTTGGTATCAACATCGCTAATGGCGAGGTAAGAAAGACCATTTCATTTCTGATGGTATCTCATAGTATATACATTACTCCCTTACATTATTTCCACATCTTTTTCTTTTTTTATTATTTTTTTTTTTAAATACCCTACTTTCGATATCATTCTTACTATATTTTTTCTTTCTTTTTTTCCCCCCTTTTTTCCCTTTTTCTACCTTTTCCTCTCTTTTTTTTTTTCAATTTCACGATGTAGATGATTATATTCGTCGATAAATTAAGTCGATACCATACATAGGTTTTTTTTCGATTGTGCAGTAATGTTCGATCAACACTTATGTCTCTGTCTAAATAAAAAGAGATAAAACTATAAATAGATTAACGAGGTTTATGTAATAGAGTAGAATAGATATATCTTTTAAATATTTATCATAACTCTAATATCTCGCGAATTATTTTTTTTTTTATAAGGCCTTTAAAAGGTATGCAAAACATTGAAATAGTCTTTTAAATATAATAATTAAATTTTATAGGTAGTATATGAAAAATATTGGAGCAGTTGTAATGATAAATTCAATCAATTCAATCTATTTAACTTGAAATGATTCTACTTGATTGATTCTTAACTCTATCAAAGAAATTTCAAATAAATTCTTAAAAGATTGCTAGTAGTAGATCTTTAATTAATTAACCATACAGAATATCTCTTTTTATATAAAAGAAAAAGGTGTTTTCTTGTTTCATATATTAATATATTTTTTTATAGTTTCAGGAAAATGTTTTGAATCTATTTATATAAACTTAAATGTTTTGCAAATAAATAAAACGTTATAATAATATTTTTGACAGATATGCAATAAACAAATATTAAACAGTACAAATGTCTATTAACCTAATGATAAATCGTAGTAGCTAGAAATATAACTATATTTAGGTATAAAAGTTAAACAATTAGTATCTTCTGTAATTGTTTTGAACGTATTCGAAATATTTTTTAGTGGTCATAAAAAATAATGCAGATAGATGATAAAGTTAGAGAGAAATTCTTCTATAAAAATATAGGTTATACTACGTTGTTCTACTGCAAAGTAAAATCATACAAAAATAAATCAACGATATATGCTACTTTTCAATGCTAACTACTACTATAACTTATAAGAATGAAAATAGTTTAATTTAATGTATATATTGTTTGTTATTGCGAGTACTTTAAATATGACTGTAGTTTGTATTTTCTTTCTTTCTGTAGTTAATATTTCATTAATTTCTCTCTTATATCATGTATAAATTATTGCATAGCTATAAATGATTGTAGTACCGATTCCTACTTAGACTTTTCTATTCGACGACTCGTTGGGTCGAATAATTTCGGTGGACAAAGAAAGCAAAATATTCTTTCAGGGTAAGAGTAGTTCGTAAATATAGATTCGGACATATTAGATGCTTCTTTCTTAACTTGCGATTGTTTTTCTCGGTAAAAGAGAGTCAGTTTGAAATGTGAAACAGACGTATTCAAAAGCGTACGATTTTATAGTATTTTTAGCTTCAAGACTATCACGTATTTTCACTTTTGACTTGCAACAGAAATTTTACTTCTAATTACAAAATTGTAAATAATATAGATTAAGGAAAAAACATTTCACATCGCGAATACTCGTCAAATTCGTTTTTTACTATTATCATTGCTTTTCTTGCTGATATTTACAGTAACGAGAGTTATATTAGGGGACGATATATTTTGCTAAAGCTTCTTGCAGTCTTCATAAAAAATTGTTCCTATAAATGCCTCGGTAGGAAATTCAAAACTAAACGTTTGTCGAGTAAAGCAATATGATCTCTACTTAGATATCTTAATATAAGATTAGTCATATTTCATTTTCCGAATTGTATGGCCATTATATTTTATCAGTTGTACGTCATCAATTCTATTCTAAACAATAAACAAACAGAAGCATAAAGAAAAACGTTACGACGACAGACTGTATTTGTAAATATTTCAAAATATTGAAGTAATTAAAAAATCTAACTTCGCAGAATATGTTATGATCTTGTGGTTTTTTTCTTCTTTTTCTTTTTCTTTTTCTTTTTTAGGAAGTTGCTGTTAAATTAGAAAATGTGCGTGCACGACACCCTCAATTGCTATACGAATCAAAATTATACAAAATATTACATGGTGGTATAGGAATACCGCATATACGTTGGTAAGAATTACGTTTATATACTGTATATGAAAAAAAATGTAACATTTGATAATCTTGAAGCGTTTTTAGGATCAATAAGATTGAAAAATTATATTTTAATCGATAGGTATGGAACGGAACGCGAATACAATGTCCTCGTTATGGATCTCTTGGGACCATCCCTAGAAGATCTTTTTACTTTTTGCTCTCGAAGGTTTACAATTAAAACGGTTTTAATGTTGGCAGACCAGATGATTGGCAGAATCGAATTTGTTCATTGTAAACACTTCATTCACAGAGATATAAAACCAGATAATTTTTTAATGGGCATCGGCCGTCATTGTAATAAGGTAACATATTCTCACATCATATGGGTATTTCGATAAATACTCTGTAGGATAGGTAATTCGATAAAATCTATTGTTTATTATTTTAAATGTCTTCTCTTCTCCGGATAAATCGAATAAAAAATACGAGTGCCTTTTGCAAAATCTGTTTCAGCTGTTTCTCATTGATTTTGGACTAGCTAAGAAATATAGAGATAGCCACTCGAGATTGCATATAGTCTATCGAGAAGATAAAAATTTAACAGGCACGGCAAGGTATGCCTCCATCAATGCTCATTTAGGCATTGAACAAAGTCGTCGGGACGACATGGAATCGCTTGGATATGTACTTATGTACTTTAATCGGGGATCATTGCCTTGGCAAGGTCTAAAAGCTGCAACTAAAAAACAAAAGTATGAAAAAATCAGTGAAAAGAAAATGTCCACGCCCGTAGAAGTTTTATGCAAGGCATGTTTCCAAATTTATCGATGAAATAATAATCTCTTTTTATACATTTACAAATTTACTTGGTATGGCTAAATTGATTTTTAATCAATAGGGATTTCCTGCTGAGTTTGCGATGTATCTAAATTATACACGAGGATTACGTTTCGAAGAGAGCCCAGATTATATGTATTTACGTCAGCTTTTCCGTATACTTTTCCGTACGTTAAATCATCAGTACGACTATACATTTGACTGGACAATGTTAAAGCAGAAAGTAACAAGCACGTGCGTGAGTCTCAATGGCGGTACATCTGGAAATACACACGGTCGAGTTGGAGAAACCATTCAAACGCAAGTACAAGGTGGAGTTCAGCCATCTGCTAAATCTAACGCTCCAGCAGGTAACAACAAATTTTCATATAAGTGCTGGACTATAGTAGAATGTTTTCTGCTGGAAATATTTTAATATTTCGTATTATTAAAAGAAAATGTACATTTTAAACATTCTCTGACGTGAGCATACTAAATTTCAAGTAGATTTGTATAAAGTTGGAAGAATATAATTATACGAAATATTTAAATACATTAAGTATTTTGTTTGGGTCTGTATAATAACTATGCGATCATTGAAAAAATGATCATAGGAGGACGTTAAAGCTGTGGCATTTAACTATCGTCAACCCCACTTATGATCAGAAGTATCTCAAACAAGGTGAACAAGTTGATCAAAATTTTTGTCCGAAGAGTTATATCAAGCGGTTCTCCAGTCCAGGAAGAGAGAAAGCTAATGACCGCGGCGGAACTTCGGAGTTTATAAAAGTGAAAAAATATATATAATGCACGATTATGGATGAGAAAAGAACAAAACATTATAATGATTTAACCCTTTTAGACTTGTTGGTATTATGCATCTACCATCAAGGTGATTTTTTATTTATTATTTTTTTCCTTCATTCGATTATTCTTATGTAGAAAATGTAAAAAAAAAAAAGAAACAAAGAAGTATGCTTTCAAAGGGTTAAGTACTTAGATTTTCGATGAAACCATCTCTTTCTCTTCGAGTTAAGCATCCATAGAAAATTGACTAAACGTGGCTTGTCCCATTATTTTGATAACTGGTTTATTTCATTGATTATCATTACAATAAAGATATTGATTACCCGAAGATCTTGTTAGAAAGTGCACATATATAATATGAGAATCCAATGCATTCTTTTCGAGGAAAGAAGGAGAGAACATCTTTTATGAGACCACATTTGAATGATCGCTCGAGTAAATCGTTATAAAAATTTTGTATTTACTCTACAAATAGAAAACAAATACAAAAATAGCTGAAAATTTATTTTGCAAAATCACAAAAGCATTACTTTGTGTACTGAAAAATAAGTACAGAAATTGCTTCCTATATTTTTTTTTTGTTCCCAATATGTAATACGAATATAGTGTGAATGGGCTTTTGCGAGAAATGTTAATATTTTTCTTACCTCAAATAATATGTCAATAAAATTGTACTAAAATACATTAATATTAAGACAACAATAGTTGCATATTTTCTTGAGATATGCTATACGATTTCAATTAGAGGCAAAACAAAAGGATATTAACTTTGTCTAATATTATTATAGTTAGCTCTCTTTCTTTCTGTCATCGGCGTATTTGATCGAAAGCAACAGTGATATATAATGGTATTACTGAAAAAAGAATGTTATTTGTTGTAGACTTGTTGCAGATTCAATTATTAGTCTGCCTGGATTAAATTAGAAATATTAAGTTTGTAATCGTATTATTCATTTAATATTTTTTTCTAGACAACGAAGAAAAATAAGAGATGATTAATTTCTTGCATAGTTTTATGTGGATGAATCTATGCAATTATAGTTTATGTTTACTATTATAACATAAGCTTTGCATTATATAACTTTAATTTACTATTCATCAAATAACTATCGACTTGAATTGATCGTTATCGTTGGTGAATTGGTCTTTTTTTTAGTTTTCATAAAATTGCCTGATACAAAATTCTACGGCATACAATAGATAATCGATCGTTAGAATCTGGAAACGGTCATTATTACGTTTCTATTATAGATCCTTATTTCAAAAATAAGATACTTGGATATTCTTAAAACGTCGCAATATTCATAGATAATAATAAATTCGAAATATTTGTTTTTTTTTTTCGTTTACGTTAACTAAAATCATATTTCAAACACTATGGTTTAATTTTTAAAATATATATCCTGACGATTGCCTTTGACAAAATTGTAATCATATATCATCATTGATACCAGTGTTATCGTGTCTTCGAGGTGGAAGAAACTTTAAAAAATAGCTAATATTATCGTGACTCGCGATGCGAAAACAACGTTAGTTGCATATATAGATTATATTGTTCCATTACCTGTGGGAAATCCAATACAAATGGGCAAAAAACATTAATCATCATTAAGTGAGAATGTGCATAATTATTACTGAAAAAACTAAATGTGTATGATTAATCATTAGTGGGAGGTATAAATGAAATCAATAGTGTGTATGGTTATAAAACAAGAAAACGAATGCGCGAATGTGTAAGTTAATAAATAAATAATGATATATGCACTTATTATTGTCTCTGGTGTATATACATATTTGTGCGTGTGCGTATGCAATGAAATCGTGACAGTAACATTAAGTACGACATACTTTAATGCATAACAATGAGAAAATACATTAACATTATTGCTCCTTTTACCTCTATAAATAAATACTGAAATATTGTATTATACTTACTGTTTAATTGTATCTTTAATTTTTAAAGAAAATATCTAGTTATTTTCATCTTTTAGAATTAGATAGTGCCTTTTTTGATTTTTCTTGCGTTTTTCAATATAATTTATTTTATATGTCTAAGATACAAAGAAAAATTTATGGCTACATTTTCATGCCGTATATGGGATAATATATTTTTCACATAGCAATTTCAAAATGATATAGTTATATTAATAAATTTACAATTATAATGAATAATACGATCATCTATAGCAGATCCCACCACATTATAACATATAAATACTAAGAAAGCTTGCAATCTTAATTACGACGAATTACTAAATTTGATCACAGCTTTATTCGCGCGTGTTATGAAATTAAAGTTGCAATATATAAATCTTATTTGTACAAAATAAATTAAAGTTTCCATTAGAATAATAATACAAAATAGATATTAATGATAATATAAAAAGAACATATATAAACAATACGTTACGTCCAACATATTCGATTTTTTAAAAGAACAAAACAATTCTAATACAAATTTAATAACATACAAGAGTGTGAACTTGTCGAAGTTCATTTTTTCCTACAACGATAGTATGTGTTTTTTCTGGACCACTGTAAGGAATACTTATCTGTGCTGCAAGAATTTGATTTTCCTGCATTGCTGTCGTCATTTCACGATTTGGAAATACAGCAAATTGAGCTTCAGCCCTTCCACCAACGTTTCGTTTGACTGCTTCTTCGCGTATTTCTCCCTGGTAACATTAATTTATTAATATTAATAATCGACGATTATACGAATAAAAACTAAACTTACAAGGCGAGAGCTAAGTTGAGAAGACACCAATTTTTTTTTAAATTATACACAGTTGTTTGCAGCTTTATGGTTTTCTACACTGTTAGGCTCTAAACTTTTCACAACATCATGTATATTTTTCTATAATTTCTTTTTTGTTAAATTAAACTGTAAAAAATTTATTTTTTTATCTAAAACGAGCTGATATATAAGAATGAATATGAGACTTCTCCATTCGTTTTCTTGGAAACGGTTTAGTATTGGGTCTTATTGATTGCACACTGTGTAGAATTTAAACAAAAATTGATGTTTTGTTAATTTAACTCTTCTCTGGTTAAATAACTTACTGCCAATCTATCAGCCTTTTCTTTGTATTGTTTAATCAGTAATTGTCGCTGCAATAATTGATATATAGGTTTCGATTTTTCGAGTACTGGTGTTTTTACTGAAGATATTTTATTACGTGTCAAATCGGGTACCGTAGGGAACGTTATTATATTGTGGATATCCTGAAAAATCATTTCAAAATCAATAAATTCGATTACTCTTTCCGTTCCAAGCAGATAAAAAATAGCATTTAAAAGTGCGAATTTTTCACTTACTTTTAGAAGACTGTTTGTTTTCCTTTCTAACTCATTGATGTTTGCATCTGTAGTTTCCGGATTTTTCGTAGATATTAACGGTTTTAGACTTTCCAGTTTTACACGTAATGCATCGGACAACAATTTTCTTTTCTGCAGGTGCTCATTGTTTAGAGCTTCTTTGAGTAATGTTACTTCTTGCATTAACAATTTATCGTTTGCAGTTTGAATTCCAGCTGCTATGAACGAGGAACTTCCTACTGATATATCTGCACCAGATGTCGATATCATCGTCTTTTTCCCAAACGATTTTAACTTTTCTTTTAATTGTCCTCTTTCAGTTTCCAAACTGTCAATATCAGTTTGAAGATGATCCATTGTTTCTTCGAATTCTTTCTCCTAGTGTAGAGAAAATATTTACACTTTAACAACATTCGCAAATTTTGATCAAAAAAATTCTTACTGACAAGTACCTTCCGTTTAAGTTGATTCTGCGCTTCTTCTAACTTTCTTGTTAATTTTTCTACATTTAATTCATGCTCGTGTTGTTGCGTCGTTAATTTCTTCTCGGCTAATTCTTTTCTTAAAGTCATTTCAGATAGCTCTTCTTGTTTCTCTCGTAACGCTATTCTTGCTTCGCGTATATCGCTATCTCGTGCTTCCAGTTTTCTAATAATTCATATTTTTTATATATTAATATTTCATATTTTTGTTTTTCATTATTATTGGACATTGTTTAAAAACAATAAATTACCTGCTGAGTATTTTAGTTTCCTCTGCTTCCTTTCTTGCTATTTGAGCCATTAAGAATATAGGCGCTACTGTTTCATTAGCTTCTTGTTGATGTGAAATAGACCCTGTCATCGCTAAATCGTTTTCACATTCTGTCATTCTTTGTGCCAAATTAGCTGCAAACTGTTGCATGATCGTTAAACTAGATTTTATTGTTGCCACTGGCCCCATATCTTCAGTATCATAGACTTTCTCACTAGCCATAGCAGCTATATCTTTTAATTTATCGGCTGCAAGACCTGTATCCAAGTCTAATCAAACATTTCATCATTAGATCATTTGTTAATTCTTTTTATATAATATTTTTATATTGTCATTTTTGTAAATAAATACTCACCTCCGTTTGTAACAATAGCTTGCAATGCACTTTTTAATAAAATTTGTAATGTTTTCATAATTTTTACAGAAGCTTGATAGCATATAAATAATTGATTGCTATAATCTTCATCTAGTCCTAAGTTTGCGCTTATTAAACTTCCGGTATGATCTCGAGGAACACGTCTTCTAGCTGACTTCAAGTGCTGCTGTATTACTTCACAAGTTGTTTCAGCATATTGACAGAGAAGTCCTATATAAAGGAAATCCAATTGTAAATGAAAGTAAAACAACATATATAATGTTTATAAAAATAAATCTCTCTCTATATGTGACAAACCTATATCGCCAGTGTCTCCTTGAATGAGAACTTTTATAGCTGCAGCATCGGTTGCAATGGCATCGCAAGCACTACCTAAACTTCTAGTTCCATTAACGACTAAGCGAGCTTGATTAATAGATACACTTCCTCCAAATAATATCGAAAACATTGTAGAGAAATATTCGCAACATTTTTCAACTGCATCCACGGAAAGATTTTCATCTAACTGATCTCTTTTGGCTAATGCAATTAAAGAGTCCACTGATTTTTCTTGCACTACCATTTCTGGGAATGCAGCTCCTACTTTAAGCAATGCTTCCGGACTGCACACATTTAAGGCAGATTCGAAACATCCTAGAGTAGTTTGCAAGGCATACATGCACGCACAAAGACGTGATCGGAAAGCATACTGTTCAACGGAATGGCCTTTTATTACGCTCACTCTGTCAGAAATATGATAGTAAAAGTCTTACATTAGTAATAATCAGAAGCAATGGAATATTGTATTAAGCGATATATTCTTACCTGTCAATTTTATCAGTCGAATTGTATTTATTTCTTACTTGTGAAATCAATATCTCTGTTTTACGTATCATACGTGGGATAAGTAAAAGAGTTAGGATTGCGTCATGATCGCCACCGCGTGCTAAAAACGCAGGAGACATGAACGAAAGTAAGTAATGTACGTGACTTTCAGCTTCCTCCGCATCTAATCGTCGTATTTCGAGATCAACAGCTTTGGTTTGCGCTCGACTCTCCGCAAAAGTTTTTTGGAAATCTAATATTTCGGCCAGCTGCTGTTCTGCACCTAGAATATAGATAAATAGTTTTCAAATATAATATACCTTACGTTTATTTTTAAGTAACCTTAATTGATATAAATCTTATAAATCAACCTCGTGTAATAGATTTAGTTGATTCTGTCGTCTGTACTCGTTCTTGCAATTGCAAACATTGCTCTTGTAATTGATGCGTAAGCTCTCGGAACTTTGTTATAGTTAGTTCACGATCTGCTAATGTTTCTAAAGCCGCATCACGATGTCGATGAGCATCACGAGCTGATCCAAGAGCAAGATCTAATTCCTCTCTTAATTCTAATTCCAATTCTTTAGAAGATTCAGCAAGTTGATCAGACATGTCCTAACAAAAATTAAAATAAATTTACTTATTCTATTCAATAACATTATTAATATTATTATTAAATTAAAATTCTGTATAAATTCATAGATATATGTAGTAAGTTCTACCTGTAAAGCTTCTAGATCTGCAACAGCTTCTTCAAGTTCCGTAACTTTTTGTTCTAAGGCCATTTTCTTTTCACCTAACACTTCTACCATTTCTTCAGCACCTAATGCTGCATCAACCTATACACACATATATTATTCATTAGTAATAATTATATCTTTTTTCTTGAATCCCTACATTATAAAAATGAAATATACTTGTTCTTGTAAATCTGCTATCTGATGTTCCATTTCCTCAACGCGCGAAGACAATTTTTCCTTAGTACGTCCTAATTCCAAGATTTCTGATTTCTTTTGATCCAAATCTTTTTGAAGTTTTTGAAATTCATGTTTCTCATGTGCTGAGAGATCACGCATTCTTACAAGTGTTTCACGCAATCTACTATTCTGTTGTTCTAATTGCTTTACCTCATAACTCGATACATTTGTAGTTGATCCTCCTCCTCCTCCTCCTCCTCCTGATGCCTACATTTTACAATAAATTTCTAAATCTTATCTATTCACATAATAATCATAAAAAATAGCTGCATTAAAATGTAAATTTTGTAATACCCTTTCTGACATTTCATTACGAAGAATTTCCAAATCAAGCGTTTGTTCCTCTAATTTTTCTTTCAATTGTTCCAATTCTATCTGGAGCGTTTCAGCCTTTTCTTCTGCCATTTCTTTATCTAATGTTGCCATTTCTACAGTTTCTGCAAGATCTGCCATTTCATCTTGATATTGCTCTCTGGCTGCTTGTGCCTCCCTAGCTTCTTGCTTTGCTCGTTGAAGGTCCCTCTGAAGACTGGCCT